TATATATATATATATATATATATATATATATATATATATATATATATATATGTATCCAGTAGAGATATTAGAATTTTTACAATATGATGTTTCTGGACATCATCATTTCTGGACGCTGTACATAACAGTAAAGTAAGATAACGACATATTTATCAACTGTAACAAAAGAATTAATTTTTATTATTGTCTTAAAAAATTCCACGTTAAAGTATACATGCTGTCCTCTTTACTTTGGCAAAAAATTCTAAAGATGCAACAAACAATCCAGCAACAGACAAGGTGTACGGTTTATTGCCTCTTTGCAACAGCAATAATATCAATTTTTGTATACTTAGTGGTGCTATGTACCAACAAACATTGTATCTACAAACAAAAGATTGAACTATGAACTCATGATTGAGAAAGATAAAAGAATGTATTAAGATTTGTAAAAAATATTTTCTGCATAATTTAATTTTGATCATAAATTTGCAGAACGGCGTCTAATATATAAATCACGAGCACGATTGTACAATATTACTTGCATGCTGAGAAATACATTGTCATTGTGATCTGTAATTTCTTGGCCTAAGTAATTTATAATAAACATATATACAAGAATGGGAATTATGTATGCGAAATATAAGCAAAACTCCTCGATTTTACCACCAAACGCAACAATCTGAAAAACCTGAAATGTCACGGTGATAAATTTTTTAGATATGTTAAATTATGTTTACAATGCGTTGAAGTGCCCAAATGTGAAACAGAATAGTTTGCGGGTTATTAAAGATAAAAAAACATACTTGAAACATGTTCAAGCTCAAACATATCACAGCGAGAATTTCGGAGAAACACAGTGTAAATTTAAACGGGGATAGTATACACTCGCAAAAACTGAAACAATTGGAAAATATTAATATTAATTAATATTAATATCATATATATTTATTGTTATATTAATATCAACTTTAAAGTTTTTCGATGCATATCAATGGCGGAAAGAATGCCTTTATAAATCGTGATTTCCTGCTTTATAAATCGACAGCTCTGCTTAATCTCTTGTCGAGTTTCAATCTCCATTGATCGCCTGATACGGTAACTGTAAAAATTCCATTATTTTAATTATATTTCTCTCCCTTTTTCTCTTCCTCCCACTCTCTTCTCTCTTTCTTCCTATTTGTCTATCACTCCCTTTCGTAGATCAATTCTTCAGAGATATTAAGTAAGATGTTGTCTAAAAAATCCAAACGTGTGTACTGATTTTTTATTTTTTTTTATACCTGGCGATTTGCAACATTCCACAAGCATGTTTGAAACATATTACAAAAATCATGCAAGTCCCCGTCGCCGATATCACACATATACAACAGGCTGCATACATATGCAGCATTATGAAATACAAATATTTTTCTTGGTTAACAAAATACTCAGTCGCAATCAATATTGTACGATGGGAAGTAGTGTTATTTATGAGAAAAAAATGGTCGAAGAGGTACGGCCACATTGGATGAACAAGAATAAGAAATATAATCCCAAATACTAAAAATATTTAAAAAGATAATTTTATAAATTGATGGTTTACAAAATTCTGAAATACATAATCGCTGCATATATGGACTTTTTATTAGCTCTTAAGTTATATTAAGAATCAATAAAGAGAGATTAATTAATTTATGAAATTAGCAAAAATATAATAAATAAATAATAAGTGAAAACCATACAATATACATTATTTTATTTATATATTAAAAATATTTGTCTTACGTATAATTCTAGTTGTGTTGCGTTGTGCGCTGGATGCATATTTGTCAATAATAGAGATTTCGTTCTCGTCTTTGAAGTAGTAACAAATATACTGAATTTGTTCCAGTAAATACTTTATCTGTTATGTGAATAAAAATTAATATCGTTATTGTGAACTTTGGCAAGAAGTTATGTGTGCAATTTTAAACTTATTTAATATAACTATTGAGCAGTTTATTGTAAAGGCGTAACTCACATTGGAGGTATGAAACCAGAACGAGTTATCGATAAATAAGGAAACAATAAAAAGTAACATTGAAGAAAAATGTTTAATGATGAAATAAGGAGTGCATTCTGCAGTCACAAACGTTGTAAACTGAAAGTAATGAATTTTTTGTTAGAACGTAATAAGAAATTGTATTCGTGTAACATTTGTTGATGATCGAGAGAAAGTATTCATTTTTCTCATAAGAATGTGATGAGAAGATTATAGTTATTAGGAGTTTTAAAAAATATCTCGGAGTACATTATATACATCCCTTTTATCTTGGAAACAGAGCATTTTAGAAAAAAACGTTTCAAAGGAAAGTTGTATGGTTTCGAGGCGTACATAAGATGGTGTCATTGATTTGACCTTGGATGGCGCCGCCAAGGTCAACTTTGCTTTTTTAAATAGAAATATGTATTTTTTATTACGGAATTTTATTCTACGTAAAGAAGCAAACAGCTTTTGCTTGAAAAATTTTTTAATATCTACAGAAATATCTACAGAATTATTGGTTTTAATATTTTTTTACTCGAATTCTATCAACTTTACCGAAAAATGGCAGGAGATAAAAATTGCTTATTTTCTTCTCATCGGGTTCTAAGAATTTTTTATTAACTTTTTAGTACTTCGAGAAAATGCAAGAAAATGTAGTACTAAAAAGTTAATAAAAAATTCTGAAAAAATTTTTAGAGCCCGATGAGAAGAAAATAAGAAAATTTTATCTCTTACCATTTTTTGGTAAAGTTGATAGAATTCGAGTAAAAAATGACTGAAACCAATAATTCTGTAGATTTTCCGTAAATATCTTAAAAAATGAAGATCGTATGAAAAAAATTTTCAAACAAAAGCTGTTTGTTTCTTTACATGGAATAAGATTCCGTAATAAAAAATACATCTTTCTATTTAAAGAAGCAAAGTTGACGTTGACCTTGGCGGCGCCATCCAAGGTCAAATCAATGATACCATCTTATGTACGCCACGATACAACTTTCCTTTGAAACGTTTTTTTCTAAAATGCTCTGTTTCCGAGATAGAAGGGGTGGACGGATGATCTTAGACACCCTATATATATACAGGGTGTAAAAAAATTAGACCTATAAACTTTGACGGGAAATAGAGGACATAAAAACAAACATATTTTGTTAATAATGTTTTTCTCTACGACGCTTCGTTTTAATACTACAGGATACAAAATAGGAATTTTAATAAAAAACAAACATATAAGTGGAAAAATTAAATTTATTTCAATTACACATATATATTTTAATCTTCAAAAAACAATGAATAAAAGAACGGAACAAAAATGCGCAATTAATTAGCTCAATTTATAATAAATGTTCAAAAATTCCTCCATTTGCTTCAACACAAAGGTGACATCGTCGAAATTCGGGTTAACGATTCTGTTTTTGTTTTAATGCCTCATTGATAAGAATTGTGAAAGTAAATACAAAATACTTTTGTGAAGCACGCTTTATTAATAAACATTTTTATGGGGGTATATGAAAACTCTCATTTATGAGACACCTATTGAAACAGAAGCAGAATTGATAGCCCGAATTACTGCTGCAGCATATCAGGTTTAGAACATTCCTGCAGTCTTCGAGCGTGTGAGACAATCAATGTTTGGACGATGTCATCTTTGTATTGAAGCAAATGGAGGAATTTTTGAACATTTATTATTAATTGAGCTAATTAGTTGCGCATTTTTGTTCCGTTGTTTTGTTCATTGTTTTTTGAAGATTAAAATATATATGTATAATTGAAATATATTTAATTTTTCCACTTATATGTTTGTTTTTTATTAAAATTATAAAATTCCTATTTTGAACCCTGTAGTATTAAAACGAAGCGTCGTAGAGAAAAACATTATTAACAAAATATTTTTGTTTTTATGTCCTTTATTTCTCCTCAAAGTTTGTCGGTCTAATTTTTTTACACCCTGTATGTGTGTGTGTGTGTGTGTGTGTGTGTGTGTGTGTGTATGTGTGTGTGTGTGTTGGGCGTCGTATATTCTCATTCGCAATTTTTGTGAGAACGTAGAACGGGTTGAGGTGAACACAAATGTCACATACCGCTTTGCAATATTCGCAATAAATCTCGACATATTAATTAAAGAAGATTAGTGAATTATCGCGATTAGTGAATTATCATAGATAAATATTAGGTTTGGTTTCCAAATCTAATATGCATAAACACCACGAAAGCTTAAAAAATCAAATGGTAAATGAATATTTGTGACGTTGTCTGCCGTTGCATATTTATACATTAGGTCAAACTGAACAAAAATAATCCTTTATCATATTACAGATAATGCGTAGATTTTAGTTATTAACGAAAGAAAATTGTTAGGGTAAACTCGGATAAGATGATCATACTTTTTTAAAATAAATAAAAAAAATACATTTCTTATTGCTATTTTTCAATAGCGTTTGGCACATTACTTTACTGAAGTCTATAGTACATAATACCATCAGAGTTAATAGGAAAATACTTCAGTAAAATTGTTTATTACAAAAATATTAAAACGTGAGCATTGGCCATCTTACATAAATTTTTCAGATAAGATGGCCATAAAGGAATAAATGCTCCATACATATTTTATGTTCAAGTTTCTGTACCTAATATTTTATAAAATAATAAAAAACACAATTTAACATATTTATTTTAATATAAGATATTTAAAACATATATATTATTTGTGAAAAATATAATACACATATGAAATAGAAAATTCTTTAACATAACTTAAATTCTAAATGCAATCTTTTGATCAAAACATATTGCACATGAGATTTTATTACTGTAATATTGAAAATAATTTTTAAAACATAGCGACTTTCGTTTTATTAATGTTCATAGAATAATAGTGGGCTATATTACCCAAAATGTGAGTAAAAGACGGCTATAGTATTTATACACAAATAATGAAAACGGAAGTAAAATTGCCTGTTATATTATAATTTACGTACCTACTTCACGTATTTAACTTCACGTATTTTAATTGCTGATATCTTAACTATAATTTGTTCGACGTTACAGCAATTTGTAATGGACACCTAACAAATTTTACAGGCAGTCGAAAATAAAAATATAATATAATATTCATAATTTTGCTATTTCGAAAAATATATCCCAATATACTATAAATATCGATTATCTTTGTGGCTGATTACACAAACGCATTGTTTTGCAATTATTAGAGAAATTACAGTCTATGTCCACCTTTTCCGTATGGCCATAATACTTGAGTTTACCCTATATGATTATGGGCAATAATGCACAAATCTTCTCTACTTAATATCTTTAATTTTTTAATATCTTTTCTTTAATTTTATTCCATGTATTTGTGTACTATATAAAAAAATATTGGGATAATTATAATACTTTTGTAGTAATAAATTAAATATTTTTTTAAATAAATATATAGGAATTTTGGCCATAATTTTGCATGATCCTATATGATAACAGATTTATTGAAATTTTTTTACAATTCCCCATATATTTTTTATATAACTTTTTACGTAACTATTTCTTAATGGAATAATTTTAAAGATTTATAACGAGAAATATTTACGTACCTGAAATGCAATAAAACTCGATAAAATACTAAAAATTAACAGTCGTTGAATTTGAGTGAACTTTGTTCGATGATAAGGCCATAAACCAACCATGAGAAGAAGAGTACGAGTGACACTAATACGCTTATACAAATCGGTATTCATTATTTCTTCGCGAGAGTTGAGACGCGTCTAACCGCAGAAAAGTAGAAGCAGTTTGCTTGCGGTAGTCCTTCGTAATGACCCATCAATAAAATAGGCTGTCGTTTTTTCTTTAATTTTCTTTAATTTTATATTTTCTTTCTAAACGTATATTCAACAAAAACTATCTAATTTTGCGTAAATGTGGTGTCAAGAATCACAAAAATACTAAGACGGGCACTCTCGCAATAAAGCATTGGTAGGATAAGAGTCGGCAGTTAAGTAATTGCATCGAATAAAATTTACCGGATGTTTATTTTCTAACCTGACAATCATGTAGTAATTTTTGGATCGAAGACCGCGCAAGCGTAGTCGCCCTTTTTCAGCCTCATGGTCTCGCGTGCCGCAGTATAGTGTGTACTTTTGTAAGATATACATGTTTGTTCGTGTTGAAAAGTACGTTGCTTCGTCGATTGGTTTTGTGTTTTATCGTGTGTTATGATATGGGGCATATTTTATATAAAATATAAAATATAACGCGCGTTGCTTACGCATTTTTATATTACGCATTTAATATTTGATAGTAAACGTTGCTCTCAAAATTGTATTTATGCAGAATATCGGCGCTCATCGAATATTCTTGCAACTTCCCTCTCGAGCGCGAATTTCTCTTTTACCGCGAAATACCAAATGACACATTATGAAAGGAAAGCGAAAGGCGATACGAACTATCACTTTCGCGATCAAACTCTGAACACTCGTGATTTAATTCGCCAGTAAAACATTCAACACGTTGGACGAAATTTAACGGTTTTATGTTTCATGTGAAATAACACTTCGGTCAAAGTCCGCGCAAACGCAATGGCCTTCTTCAATCTCGCAGCTTCCCGCATCTCATTGTAGAATGTGCATTCGTGAAGTACATACCTCGGACTGCAAACAGAAACGTTCGTGTTGAAAAGGACGTTGCTTCGTCGATTGGTTTTGTGTTTTATCGTGTGTTATGACGTGGGGAACATTTTATATAAAATATAAAATATAATGCGCGTTACTTACGCAATTTTATATTTGTTTGTAAATGTCGCTCTTAAAATTGTATTTACGCAGAAAGCGTTAAAGCACGAACATTTTTGAACATTTCTGGCATATCTATTACGTTTTTTGTGAAGTGTCGGCCGTTATCACGATATAAATTGTTTTACGATGACGGTTCAATTATTTTCTGTAACAAAAACTCCGATGTTATATCCATTTCATCGTTACGTAAGATATTAACGAGTGTCGCAAAACGGTATGCGATTTTTATGTTCACCTCATTCCGTTCTACATTTCCATGAACGTTGCAAAGATGAATCTGCAATATCCTGTGTATGTTTCTTGCTAAATACGATGATACAGAGTAGCATACATTTATGTACACATTATTTATATACATTTATTTATAAGATTTATATACACAAAAAATTTGCAGCGTAATCGTGTTTATGCTTATCTGACATGTTTTGATGATTGTTTCTACATTATCGACATTTGTGAAGATCATCATCCTTCTTTAACATCTCCTTAAGAGGTCAAAAATTCAATTTATTTTGTTTTTCTTTTTTTTCGTGGAAAGTGCTAATATTTTGTGTAGAAATAGATATGTTGTAATTGGTGATATTTTATTCTAAGTTCAATGGATATATATGGATAATTCTTTACACTTTGCTAAGATATTCCGATGTGACACTGAGTAATGTATTATTTTTGTTGCGTGATATTTAACGATGAAGTAAGATACCGATGCACTCGTCAGCTATAATAAAAGATCTTTCGTGTTGTCTTGTTCTAAACATGTAATACTGAATGTATCCTAATAAACAAGTTTGGGTACTAATTAGGCAATCATTTAAAAGTCAAGTTAAAACATTAAGAACTTAATAATACGTCAATTTTTAACTTAAATTAATTATATATTTCAAAATGTATATTAACATTAACTCATGTATTAATTTTTTTTTTATATAAATTAAGATAATCTATCAATACTTAAGTTATTACGAGCTACAATAGAATAATATAGAATAAGAAAAATAAGAAATGGTGACAGAAACATTTCTGTCTGTTTTTTTGAGCGTCAGTGTTCGTTTAAAGTATAAAATCCTGTGCACAAAATAGTTAATATTTTTTGTTATAAAAGACTTTTTCTTTAATATTTCACGAATTTAATCTTCTATTAAAGAATTAATTATATAAAAATATTGTAAGGTGTTCGTCATAATTGTACGTACTATTTTTTATCACTTATAAAAGTCGGAGGGGAAACAATTTTAGCAACTAATCAATTTTTAATATTAGCTTAATTTTAGTTAATTTTTGCTTATATAACTTTTAATATAAACTAAATTAATTTAGGGGCCATTATAACTAATTAAAATATTAACTTTAAATTAAATTTAGTTTAAAAAATCAACTTACCCAACACTACTCATAAATGATTTATTGTTTACCGAAACGAAGCATTCTAGGGATGCTGCAAACACATTACCGATATTCAGGACAAGAGGTTTAGTGCCTCTTTTTAATAGCAGCAATATTATTTTTCGTATGTATAATAGTACTGTGTAGCAATGAGAATTGTACCTACAAAAAAATGACAATAATTGATATTATTAATTTTATTAGTAATGTTATCTATAATTGATAAAAATAAAGCATATTAATATAATAATATTGCTATTAAGAAAAATACTAATTAAAATATTAACTAACTGCATTAATCTTTACTTTCATTACTTGTTTTATTCCAATTTTATGTAAGAAGATAAGTGCGACTATCACGTGAAATCTTTTACACGGTGAGGAATATATTCCATAATTTCTTGTCCAATGTAGTTAATCAGGAACACGAATAGATAAACACAAATTGCATATGCGATATTCAACAATAATCCTGCGGTATCGTTTTCGGATGATACGATCTGAAATATCTAGATTATGATTGTAGTGAACTTATCAGAAATATTTTAGATTCATTTGCTTTATATAAACAAAATATAATCATATAACACGTAATATTTTAAAATAATATAATGATAATATATTATTTTAATATCATTATAAATAATATATTATTATAAATTTATATAAATAATATATTATTATAAATTATATATTATTTTAAATAATATAATGATAATATAATAATATAATAATAAATCATTTTTTTATAGAAAAAAGACTTATGGCGTAAAGTGAGAAAGTATATTTTATATTGCAATTAAATATACGACTTAAAAGTTAGCATAACGTGAAATTGTAGTAGTTTATTATTAATTGTAGTGGTTAATATTAAATTGTAATGGATAATTTTCATTGTATATTGAGGGATGATATTGAAGGATTACTTTTATTTCAAAATTTGTTGTAAATGGAGTATGTTATTGTATATGATAGTTCCCGTCCAGAATTACATTTATGAATGCAAAACATTTATAATACAACTATCTCAATAAAAATAGGAAGCCATCAATATTAGAAGAGTCCCTAATCCGGCAAAGAGAAGTGTTTTAAAATCGTTTAGAGTAATTGTAATAAACCTTTAAAAAAACGAACATTCTTATTGCGTACGAATGTCGTGGAATAAATATCAACTTCATAGTTTTACGATGAATATATAGATAATGTCCTTATAAGTCATTATCTCTTCACGACATCTCATCACGACATAGATGATGTCCTTATAAGTCATTATCTCTTTCCTTAGATTAATATCTTGTTGGAAATTGACTGAAAAGTAAAAAGCGATACTGTTCTTTATCGACAAAATACTCGGTCATAATCTGTACTAGGTGAGATGTTTGTGATCCGTTTATGAGCGGAGGAACATTGAGGGCCCACACTGATTGCACAGCAAGAATGAATAAAATGTTAACTACTGAAAATATTAAAAGAAAAGAAGTAAAGGATTATATAAAAACATTGCTTTGTGATTGTTCAAATTATCACATTGTCTTGAATTTACTAAGAATTTTATATTATTATTAATTACATTTATAATCTACAAAATATACATACACATCACACATGGTTATGTTACGTTAGATTAAATAAGTGCAGTATTATGAAAATGTATCATTATCCCGAGCAAAAATGTATCTAGTAAAGCAGATTTCAAGACTAGTAGCTAGATAGTAATGACTAGATAAGTTTTCTAACCAGTCACTAGCTCGTGACTGGCTAAATATTCCTACTCAGTCTTTCGAATGTCAGGACTATTTAATGACTATACCAATTACATAGATAGAAAATCATCGGTAAATACTGAATAGAACTTGGACATCAGAACTGTTTAGTAACTATACCATTGATAGTTACAAGTTATTTTCTTGTATCCAGCTACTAGATAATTTTTCTGATACAGCCACTAGGAGAAATGAGCGTTACATTCCTAGCTAGTAGCAATATAAGACCCTTTATAACTTTTCTGTGTCAATACTAAACAATCACTAGATTCAATGTTTGCTCGGGATATTCACTCTTTACACAATGTATATAATTTTGTCTCATTGTAACGTGCACGTTCGTAAGAGTTTGACTATAACGGAAACGATCCATGAATTGGACTTGCTCTTTTGTTATCTATGGGAAATCATCGCGGATGAAATGTAAAGTATAAAGTATAATAATTTTTTTGTACCATAAATAGCGAGAGAGGTAAGATTTTTCTAAGAAAAAGAAACGGAGAAACGGATTTTGCAGTCGATATTATATAATATTGTAATAGATAATTTTGTTTAATAATTAACAGGAGATCAAATAATATTTTATCCTTTACATCCACCTATGTTATTCTTCTACGTTATTCTGCTCTATTAGACATTTGCATCATTGTTGCACAGAATACATGACAGTGAAGTAAGACATGGACGAACTTGTTAGCTGCAATAAGAAATTTTGCTTTGTCTAGTCTTATTTCAAGTCCACACGTTGTTGAGAACATATTTTGTTAAAAAATGATATATTTCTTACCGTGGCGAAACCCTCTAACGATGCAACGAAAACTTTACCGATGGTCAAATAAAACGGTTTATTGCCTCTCTGCAGTAGTAACAGTACTAGCTTCTGTATGTGCAATGGTGCTACGTACCAGCGAGTGTTGTATCTATAAGATAGTGATTGAATAAGCTCGATCTCAGTAAACGAGACGAAAATAAAATGTGCTGATAATGATATTTATCCAGTCTTACATAGCGGCATATACATCGTTATTATGATCCGTAATTTGTTGTGCGGTGTAGTTGCCCAAGAATAAATATATAAGAATAGAGATCACGTAACCGAAATGGATAAAGATTTTCGCACGATCATTCTCAAACGATATAATCTGAAAAATCTGAGAAGCTATTGTGATATTATCCTTAAAAAAATATCTTGTTTGAAGTAAAATGAGTCTCACATTATAAAAGAAAGAAAATAATATATGACTGTTTCAGTAAAGATGGATTTTCGAGGGGTGTATAGAGATATAAAGATTGAGATTTATTGTCTAAAGATGTTTTAAGAACACATTGAAACTCACTCGATATAGATTTAGGCTCATACCACAGACTAATATCACTATTATTATGCAGTAAATTCCCTCAAACTCCTTCATCATTAAAGTGCAGATCCTTTAAGAACATCAGAAATTTTATTTGTGGTCCACTTGTGGTTTTCGAAATTACATGTATTGCATAAGCATTATCGGACGAATACCAACATCATAGCTTTACGATGAATGTTGATGGCGTAAACAATTTTCTTATATATCATAATTACGTCTTCCACGTTAATATTATATTGTACGTTGACCTGGATTGAGACGATAACTGCAAGTAATTTTTTTTTCGGGAATCATTCCTCTCATCCGCGCGAATTAGTTAAAGACAGGGTTGGGTAAGTTACTTTTAGTTTTTAACTGAGTTAAGTTAAAAGTTAGTTCGCAATAAAATAATTGAGTTTACATTAAAAGTTACTCAAATAAAATACTAAATCAGTTAAAAGTAAAAAAAACTTAAAAAAAAAGTTAGAAATTACTTATGGAAAACTTAATTATCTAAAACTATATATTTTTTTATTTCATAATTAATCTTTAAATTTGGCTTAAATTTATGTGAAATAATGAAAGTATATTAAGCAAATTGACCAATCACAGTTAATTATTTTTGGACCGTAAAAAGAATAGTCGGTTGTGATTGGCCAATTTCTTTACTGCTTACGTTAAGTTTACTGCTTATTCCTTAAGTTTTTCTATGTACCACTGGTTTTATATCCCGGTGTAGTAAGCTTTAGTCGTAAGAAATTGACTAATCACTGTCGACTTATAGAAGAATAATCAATTGTGTTTCATCAATTTCTTACGGCTTAAAGCTTACTATACTATTGTAGATTGAGTCTTAGGCGTCGTCTACAATGTCAGTAGGAGTGGTAATATGAAATAAGCAGTAAGCAAATTGACTCATTCCATTCTCATGATTTAAGAATAATCGATTGTTATTGATCTATTTGCTTATACTATTTATTTCATACTGCTACTCCTACTGCCATTGTAGATAACGCATTACAATGCTGGGGATTGATTGCGTATCTCGAAACGAAGTTAAAATTACAAAAGTGAGCAAATTCACTAGGCATTGACCAATGAAGTTACAAATATTCTAGTAAATTTTCTCACTTTTGTCATTTTCACTCTGTTTTAAGATATACATTCGATCCCCTGGAAACTTCATTCTATCTTTCTTTGATATGTAATGAACAATAAAGGTAGAATAATGCTTATAGTGCTATAAGCGTGCTATAAGCGTGAATCGGACCACACAGACACAATCAGATCTTTTATTAAAAATTATTTCAAGTTTATTTTCAGATGCTTCGTAGACAATGAAACGATCCGTTCAGTATCTAAAAATAAACTTGAAACGATCATAAATAAAAGATTTAGTTATGAATACTGCTCTTATATACCTGTCTGTTAAGGTGGCGGATGATTTTTATGCAACTTTAATATTGATGAAATAAATTAACTTAACTGAACTTAATTGAAAAAAATAAAAAAGGTTAAAGTTAATGCGTAAAAATTAATTAAGTTTAAGTTAAAAGTTAACTTATTTAAGCTTAACTAAGTTATTAACTTTTTAACTTCTAACTTGACTTTTAACTTTTTTAAAAGTTACTACCTTGATTAAAGATAATAAAAGGACAATCTTCCCAGCATGAAAAAGTTTACGTGTCTTACATATCCTCTCTATACGTTCACTTACTAAGCGATTTTGAACATTCCGCAGACGTGTAGGAGATATGTTAAAAACATTGTTCCAGTCGCTATCACCCCAAGTGACGATACAAATATCGTTGCATTCATGTGCAGAATGATTAAGTAGAAATATTTTTCCTGATCGAAGAAATATTCAGTCACCATAAACTGTAATCGATGTCCTGTGGATTCATTTTCCGGCAGAAAAATATCAAAAACATGTAACCATATTAATTGAATAACCACAAGAAATACGGCGCCAGACACTAAGAACATTAAAAGCATATCATTATATAAATCGCTGTTTATTTCTACGAGATATTACACTGTTAAGAGTTTTAGACCTGTTTAGGTAGTTTATTTTATTTCGTAATACGTGATAAATATTACTACAAATATAATTTCTTACGTATGAGTCCAGTCGTAAAACGTTTCGCGTTAATCCCGTAACTTTTTATGATGGCAATTTCGTTCTTGTCTGTTATATTGTTACAGATTTGCTGAAGTTGTTCCAACAGATACTTCATCTACGGACAATACAAAATACAATGCGTATCATTTCTTGTTGTGATATTTGGGACAGACTTTGATATACAATTGTGCATTTATCATGGATATTATTAGTGATAAGTACAGTATATTCTTAACTCACTGCACGATTGTTAACCACGAATGAGCTGTATATAAGAAAGGTACAGAACGAAGCTAATGCGTTGGAGAAAACTGTGATGACAAAATCAGGTGTACATTCTGAGGTCAAAAGCGCCGTTAACTGCAAGCGATAAGTTTATTGGGAAATACGTGAAAAGGACTAATAACTTTGTTCAAACAATAAATTATAAGTCTCAGAGTTGTCTTTCTGTGTACGATATTATATAATGACAAGGTATTAATTGTAATATTATAAAAAGGTTTTTTTTTCTGTTATACTCAAAACTCCTCGATTATAAATCGATGTAGTTATGATAGAGATAGTATAAATGAAAAATGCTGATATTAATTAATTGGCTTATCTAATGTCATAATGTATATTTGTTTTGATTCTACACAAAATTATGAATTTTGTAACGTTAACGAAATGTCCTGGCTGACATTTGGATCATTCTGAATCGTAATGTTAAAATAAACGCAATGTTTGTTGAATTAAATTTTAGTTTGCAGCTTTATCGAAGGACCTATAACAAAATTAATTGTGATGTAATTGTGATGTAATTGTTATGTATATATGGCACGTCGCAATTTTTTGAGAAAATTCTACACAATCAAATCCAAATTACGTAAAGGAGAAAACAAAAAATGGGAACTACGATGATATGTGTGAAGTAACTCTCGTTATACCATAATATGAAAAGTACTCACTATACTTGGAATATGGTGAAACTTGCTATAATACTCAAACACATGATTATTTGAACTTGAGTGAGTTTCGATTGGTTAAAGGGCCATAAGCCAGCCAAGAGCAAGAGAATCCGGTTGATATTGCAATTCTCATACAAATCGTAGGAGAGCATTTCTCCGCGAGCACCTAGACGCGTCTGATCGCGCAGTAGTCAATCAAGTTTCGCTTATTTCCTCTTCCCAGCTAATCGATAAGATATAGCATCGCATTTCCTTTTTCTAGTTTAATTTAAAACAAATTATGTAATTTCGTACAACGTGGAAAACCACGAAAAATGCTATTGTGAGATTGGGACATCTGCATTGTAATAATTTCGTCGATGAATGGTACGGCGATTAGGCGGTCGATGATACGTCTAAAGAAATTCGGCAGGTGTTTATTTACCATAGAGTAACACTCAGGTGAAACTTTTCCTAATGGATTTTGCGCATGCGCTGTTACCCTTTCGTAGTGCCGCGCGCTTCATTCCAGTGCGTGTTCTGGTAGGATTCATACCTCTGACTTTCGACAGGGGGATCTGTCGCTCGGTGTTGCGTGCGATATAAAATCATCAGCAATAAAATCATTTCCGGCAAGCATCGATTATAACCGAAAGCTTTGCTCTTGTTGATTTTCCTGAATATTACCGTTCAACATCGAAAATCGAAATTCTGGATCTTATCATAATTGTCATTAAGCAATTGCTTTCACACCGAATGAAATTTAACGAATGTTTATTTTCTATAGACAGACAATCATATAGTAATTTTTGGATTAAAGACCGAGCAAGTGTAGTCGCCCTTTTTCAGTCTCGTCGTCTCGCGTATCGCAGTATGGTGTGTACAGTCGTCAGGTACGCATGTTCGTGCGCGTTGAAAAGAACGTTGTTCCGTCGATTGGTTTTTTGTATTATCGTGTCATATGACGTGAGGAATATTTTATATAAAATATAAAATATTATACGTGTTGCCTAAGCATTTTTAATATTTGATAGCAAACGTCGATCTCAAAATTGGAATTTACGCAGAAAGTGGTAAAGCACGAACACTTTCGAACATTTCTGACAAATCTTTTACGTTTCTTGTGAAGTGTCGATAGTTTTCGCAAAATAAATTGTTCTAGAATGACGCTTTAATCATTTTCTATAATAGAAACTCCGACGTTATATCTATTTCACCGTTACTTTACGTAAGATATTAACAACGAAGACTATCGACTATCGTATCTGAAATGTAATGAAAATATTATTCGTGTATGATAATATCGTTAACGATAATATCGCTATGATAGCAGTAATAAGGATTATTTGAAATCAAACGAGTATTAATTGTTAGTATGGTTATAAGTTAATCGTGAACAAAAGAATTCGATTGAGACCGAAGTGCTTAGTCTTGATTCAGATCATCTTTTTGTGAGCATTTGACCGTGGGAACATTCGCAAAATTTCGCGTATTTTTCTTCTTTGCGTTTTCTTCAATCATCCCTTATCGAATATTTTTGCAACTTCCCTTTTGGAGCGCGGATTTCTCTTTAATCGCGAAATATCTAATGACACATTATGAAAGAAACGCGAAAGGCAGCACCAACTATCACTATTGCGATGAAACTCGGAACATTCGTAGTTTAATTTGCCAGTGAAACATTCAACTCGTCGGACGAAATTTAACGATTTTTTGTTTTATGTGAAATAACAAGCACGAAATAATACTTCTTTCTTAGTCCGCGGAAATGCAATCGACCTTTTTTAGAATCGCGGATTCCCGCGTCTCATTGTAAAGTGTGTATTCATGAAGTACATATCTCAAACTGCGAACAGAAACGTTTGTTTGATCGATTTTACTGTTGTATCACTTATGAAAACATGACCGGTGAAGTAGAGGAGAATCTTCGAGAACAAACAGCGATTTTCAAGTTTAACATTCCAGTGCCGTGTTAAGACACAAGCAGGTTTGTACAGTTTTCTTTATTTATTAAATTTTCTTGTAATTATCGCTCTCTTTTGAGCAATATTATTCCGTCGTAATACGCTTTGCTATGGACAGAAAGATTGTATGTAATTTTTAGGAGAATTTATGAGCTCGTTTTGAATGTGGTAAAATTCTCCCCTTGGATAAGACAGAGAATTCACAAACTCATTCGAAAAATTACAAATTACTTTTCTGTTACTACGAGTGTCTGCTACACTCGCTTAGGAAATAGTTTGAACACATTTTTTCTGGTGAAGTTAGAAGCGTATCAAGTGTTCACTATTGTAAGCCACTATATACGGGTTTGCGTAATAATCGATTTTAGAGAAGCAGAAGTGATAGCATAAAGAGATATGTTTTATCAATTATATTTTTTACAATATCAACTGATTGTCCCGATAAAAATATATTTTGACTCACATTTTATTTATTTTTTATGATTAACGCAAGTGCTACGTTGATTTCAACCTTGAAATGAATTAATTGTTACTCGAACCATTAGATACTTCATTACCTTAGTCTAACAGTCTTCATCTCGTTTAAATTTAAATATTTTATTTGTTGAAACGTGAAAGATACTATCAAACTAATTTTGACTTTGACATTTATTAACTTCAAATCAAAATTATATTAAAAAATTTTTTTCTATAACGCTATATAATTTGCTAGAAGATCAGTTGGATACAGTCACAAGGAAAAGGCGTATGTTTTTTTATATATACATACATACATATATTCAATAGAAATATAAGAATTTTTACTACGACTGATATTTCTTATCATTTCTGGACGCTGTACAAAACAGTAAAGTAAGATAACGATGCATTCGTCAACTGTAAAAAAATTCATTTTTGTTGCTGTCTTACTTAAAATATTCCACATTAAAGTACATATTTTGTGTTCTTTACTTTGGCAAAAAATTGTATAGATGCAACAAATAATCCAGCAGTAGACATGCTGTACGGTTTATTGCCTCTTTGCAACAGCAATAATATCAATTTTTGTATACTCAATGGTGCCATATACCAACAAGTATTGTACCTACAAAGGAAAGAACTATTAGCTCATGATTGAGAAAAATAAAAGAATTTATTAAGTATGCAAAGTATTTTGTAAAAAATATTTTCTGCGTAAAATTTAACTTTATCATAAATTTGCGCAGTGGCGTTTCATATACAAATCACGAGCGTGTTTGTAGAACATACAATATTGCTTACGTGCTGAGAAATATATTGTTATTATGATCTGTAATTTCTTGGCCTAAATAATTAAAAAAGAACATATATATAATAAGGGCAATTGTGTATGATAGATGCAAGAAGAACTCCTCGACTTCACCACCGAACGTAACAATCTGAAAAATCTAAAATACCCAGGGTGATAAATTTTTTAGATATGTTTAATTATGTGTGGTGCGTTGAGATGCAGAAACGTGAGACAGAATAATTTGCGGGTTATAAAAAATACGAAACACACTTGAAACATATTGAAGCTCAAACATATCACATCGAGGATCCCCGAGAAACACATGGTAAATTTAAACGCAGATACCATAAACTCGCAAAAACTGAAATAATTGCAAAATATTAATATTAATTAATATTAATATCATACATATTAATTATTGTATAAATATTAACTTTAAAGTTTTTCGATGAATATCAATAGCGAAAAGAATGCCTTTATAAATCGTGATTTCCTGCTTTATAAGTCGACAACTCTTCTTAATCTCCAGTCGAGTATCGATCTCCATTGCTCGCATGATACGGTAACTAAAAAATTCCATTGTCCTAATTATATTTCTCTCTCTCTCCCTCTCCCACTCTTTCTCTCTCTCTCTCTCTCTTTCTCTCTCTTTCTCTTTATTTGTTTATCAATCCCTTCCGTAGATAAATTCTTTAGAGATATTAAATAACATATATTTAATAAGTAAGATTTTGTCTGAAAATTTCAAACGTGTGTACTCATTCTTTAGTTTTTTTCATACCTGGCGATTCGCAACATTCCACAAGCATGCCCCAAACATATTATAAAAATCGTGCCAGTCCCCACCGTCGAAATTACACATATACAACAGGCTACATACATATGCAGCATTATAAAATACAAATATTTTTCTTGATCAACAAAATACTCAGTCATGATCAACATTGTACGATGGGAAGTAGTGTCATTTATAAGAAAGAAACGGTCGAGGAGATGCGGCCACATTGGATGAACGAGAACAAGAAATATAATCCCAACTACTAAAAATATTTAAAAAGATTTCGTAAATCGATAGTACATAATTCTGAAATACATAATCGCTACACATATGGACTTTTTATTAACTCTTAAGTTATATTAAGAATCAATAAAGAGAGATTAATTAATTTATGAAATTAGCAAATATAATATATAAGTAAAAAGCGAAAACCATAGAAATAAAGAAAAGAAAATTTAAAAAATTTAGTACATGTGATTAATTCATTTTTATTAAAGTCTATCTCAAGTATCTTTCACTTGATATCTTATGAAAACTTATCAAAATTTTAAAAATACTTTGGTGCTACAATATTGTTAATTCCTCAGTATTTGTCGAAAATTTGGTCTATTTTAATTGGCTATTTTACTTTCTTTGATTTGTATATTAAAAACATTTGTCTTACGTATAATTCTAGTTGAGTTGCGTTGTGCGCTGGACGCGTATTTGTCAATAATAGAGATTTCGTTCTCGTCTTTGAGGTAGTAACAAATATATTGAATTTGTTCCAGTAAATACTTTATCTGTTGTGTGAATAAAAATTAATATCGTTATTGTGAACTTTGGAATGAAATTTCGCGTGCAATTTTAAACTTATCGGATATAAGTATTGAACAGTTCATTATAAAAGCGTAACTCACATTCGAGGTATGAAACCAGAACGAGCTATAGATTAATAAACAAACAATAAAAAGTAACACTGAAGAAAAAAGTTTAATCATGAAGTAAGGAGTGCATTCTGCAGTCAGAACCGTTGTAAACTAAAAGTAATCAATTTTTTGTTAGAACGTAATATGAAATTGCTGTAGTCGTTTAGCATTTGTTGATAATCGAGAATAAGTATTTATTTTTTTTACATAAGAACGTGATGAGAAGATTATAGTTATAATGGAATATTATTAGGAGTTTTAAAAAATATTTCGGAATACACTGTATATACAAGGCGTCTCAGACTCTAATTCGCAGTTTTTGTTAGGACGTAGAACGGATTGAGGTGAACACGAAAGTTATACCGCTTTGTACCGCTTTGTACCGCTTTGCAATATTCGCAATAAATCTCGACATATTAATTAAAGAAGATTAGTGAACTATCGCGCCCGATACGGTAGATGAATATTAGATTTTGTTTCCAAATCTAATAAGTATAAATACCGCGAAAGCCTAAAAAATCAAACGGTAAATGAATATTTTTCACGTTGTTTGTCGTTACATACTTATACATAAGGTTAAACTGAACAAAAATAATCCTATATCATGTTACAGACAACCGCGTAGATTTTTAGTTATAAACGAAAGAAAATTTTTAGGATAAACTCGGAAAAGATGGCCATACTTAAAAAAAAAAATACATACAAAAATACATACATACATTTCTTATCGTTATTTTTCAATAGCGTTTGGCACATTACTTCACTGAAGCCTATAGTACATAATACCATCAGAGTTAAAAAGAAAATACTTCAGTAAAACTGTTTATTACAAAAATATCAAAACATGAACATTGGCCATCTTATCTAAATTTTTCAGATAAGATGGCCATAAAGGAATAAATGATCCATACATATTTTATGTTCAAGTTTCTGTATCTATTATTTTATAAAATAATAAAAAACACAATTTAACATATTTATTTTAATATAAGATATTTAAAACATATTATTTGTGAAGAATATAATACACATATAAAATAAAAACTTCTTTTACAAAACTTAAATTCTAAATGCATTCTTTTGATCAAAACATATTGCACATGAGATTTTATTACTGTAATATTGAAAGTAATTTTTGGAACATAACGACTTTCGTTTTATTAATGTTCATAAAATGATATTGGGCTATATTACCCAAAATGTGAGTAAAAGACGGCTATAATATTTATATATAAATAGTGAAAACGGAAGTATAAACGCATGTTACAATTTACATACCTGCTTCACGTATCTAACTTCACGTATCTTGATTGCGATAGCTTAACTGTAATTTATTCGACGTTACAGCAATTTTTAGTGGACACATGAGAAATTTTATAGGCACTCAAAAATAAAAATATAATATAATATTTATAATTTTGCTATTTCGAAGAATATATGCAAATATACTATAAATATCGATTATCTTTGTGACTGATTACACAAACGCATTGTTTTGCAATTATTAGAGAATATACAGCCTATGGCCATCCTTTCCGTATGGCCATAATACTTGAGTTTACCCTATATTATTGTGCGGAATAATGCACAAATCTTCTCTAGTTAACACCTTTAATTTTTTAATCTTTTCTTTAATTTTAATCCAAGCACTTGTGTAACATATAAAAAAATATTGGAATAATTACAATACTTTTGTAGTAACAAGTATAATATTTTTTAAATAAATATATAGGAATTTTGGCCATAATTTTGTATAATTCTATAAGATACCAGATTTATTGAAATTTTTTTACAATTCGCTGTATATTTTTGATATAATTTTTTACGTAATTATTTCTTAATGTAATAACTGTAAAGATTTATAACGAGAAATATTTACATACTTGAAATGCAATAAAGCTCGATAAAATACTAAAGATTAACAGTCGTTGAATTTGAGTAAACTTTGATTGATGATAAGGCCATAAACCAACCACGAGTAAAAGAGCACGAGTAGCACTAATACGCTTATATAAATCGACACTCATTTTCTCTTCGCGAAAGTTGAGGCGCGTTTAACCGTAGAAAAATAGAAACAGTTTGCTTGGGGGGGTCCTTCGTAATGACCCATCAATAAAATAGGCTCTCGTTTTTTCTTTAATTTTCTTTAATTTTATCTTTTCTTTCTAAATGTATATTCCACGAAAACTATCTAAATATGCGTGAATGCAGTATAAAGAAACATAAAAACTCTATGAGACGGGTACTCTCGCAATATAACTTTGGTAGAATAATAGTCGGCAGCTAAGCAATTGCTTTCGCACCGAATGAAATTTAACGGATGCTTATTTTCTATAGACAGCAATCATGTAGTAATTTTTGGATCGAAGACCGCGCAAGCGTAGTCGCCCTTTTTCAGCCTCGTCTTCTCGCGTGCTGCAGTATGGTGTGTACATTCATGAAGTACACATGTTCGTTCGCGTTGAAAAGAACGTTGCTCCGTCGATTGGTTTTGTGTTTTATCGTGTGTTATGACGTGGGGAATATTTTATATAAAATATAAAACATATTGCGTGTTACTTAACGTATTTTTGATATTTGATAGTAAACGTCGATCTCAAAATTAGATTTACGCAGAAAGCGTTAAAGCACGAACATTTTTAGACATGTCTAGTATATCTATTACATCTTTTGTGAAGTGTCGGCCGTTATCGCGAAGTAAATTGTTTTACGATAACGTTTCAACCATTTTCAGTAACAAAAACTGCGATGTTATATCCATTTCATCGTTACTTTACATGAGATATTAACGAGAATGCGATTTTTATGTTCACCTCATTCCGTTCTACATTTACACGAACGTTGCAAAGATGAATCTGCAATATTATGTTTATGTTTCCTGCTAAATACGATAATACAGAGGAACATACATTTATATACACATTATTTATATACATTTAATTATAAAATTTATATACACAAATAATTTGCAGCGTAATCGTGTCCATGCTTATCTGACATGTTTTGATGATTGTTTCTACATTATCGACATTTTTGAAAATCATCATACTTCTTTAGCTACTCCTTAAGAGGTCAAAAATTCAATTTATTTTTTCTTTTTTTTGTGGGAAGTTCTAATATTTTGTGTAGAAATAGATATGTTTATTTCATTCTTAGCCATCATAAAATATCATCATTATTTAGCCAGTCACTAGCTCGTTACTGAATATTCCTACTCAGTTTTTGAATGTCAGGACTATCTAATAACTATACCAATTACATAGATAGTGGCTAGATGAAAAAGATTACACAGTAACGAGATAGAAAATCATCGGTAGATACTGAATAGAACTTGGACATCAGAACTGTTTAGTAACTGTACCATTGATAGTTACAAGTTATTTTCTTGTATCTAGCTACTAGATAATTTTTCTGGTACAGCTACTAGGAGAAATGAGCGTTACATTCCTAGCTAGTAGCAATATAAGACCCTTTATAACTTTTCTGTGTCATTACTAGACAATCACTAGATTCAATATTTGCTCGGGATATTCACTCTTTACACAATGTATATAATTTTGTCTCATTGTAACGTGCACGTTCGTAAGAGTTTGACTATAACGGAAACGATCCATGAATTGGACTTGCTCTTTTGTTATCTATGGGAAATCATTGCGGATGAAGTGTAAAGTATAAAGTATAATAATTTTTTTGTACCATAAATAGCGAGAGAGGTAAGATTTTTCTAAGAAAAAGAAATGGAAAAACGGATTTTGCAGTCGACATTATATAATATCGCAATCGATTACTTTGTTTATTAACAGGAAATTAAATAATATTTTATCTTTTACATCTACCTATGTTATTCTTCTACGTTATTCTGCTCTATTAATCATTAGACAATTGCATCATTGTTGCGTAGAATATATGACAGTGAAGTAAGACATGGACAAACTTGTTAACTGCAATAAAAAATTTTGCTTTGTGTAGTCTTATTTCAAGTCCACGCGTTGTTGAGAACATATTTTGTTAAAAAATTATATATTTCTCACCGTGGCGAAACCTTCTAACGATGCAACGAAAACTTTACCGATGGTCAAATAAAACGGCTTATTGCCTCTCTGCAGTAGTAACAGTACTAGCTTCTGTATGTGCAATGGTGCTACGTACCAGCGAGTGTTGTATTTGCAAAACGGAGATTGAATAAGCTCGATCTCTGTAAACGAGACGAAAATAAAATGTACTGATAATAATATTTATACAGTCTTACACAGCGGCATATACATCGTTATTATGATCCGTAATTTGTTGTGCGGAGTAGTTGCTCATGAATAAATATAGAAGAATAGCGATCACGTAACCGAAATGCATAAAGATTTTCGCACGATCATTCTCAAACGATATAATCTGAAAAATCTGAGAAGCTATTGTGACATTATCCTTAAAAAAATATCTTGTTTGAAGTAAAATGAGTTTCACATTATAAAAGAAAGAAAATAATATATGGCTGTTTCAGTAAAGATGGATTTTCGAGGAGTGTATAGAGATATAAAGATTGAGATTTATTGTCTAAAGATGTTTTAAGTATAACACATATAACACATTAAAACTCACTTGATATAGATTTAGGCTCATACCACAGACTAATATCACTATTATTATGCAGTAAATTCCCTCAAACTCCTTCATCATTAAAGTGCAGATCCTTTAAGAACATCAGAAATTTTATTTGTGGTCCATTTTTGGTTTTCGAAATTACATGTATTGCATATGCATTATCGAATGAATACCAACATCATAGCTTTACGATGAATGTTGATGGCGCAAACAATTTTGTTATATATCATAATTACGTCTTCCACGTTAATATTATGTTGTACGTTGACCTGGATTGACTGTTCGAGACGATAACTGCAAGTAATTTTTTTGTGGTAATCATTCCTTTCATCCGCGCGAATTAGTTAAAGACAGGGTTGGGTAAGTTACTTTTTGTTTTTAACTGAGTTAAGTTAAAAGTTAGTTTGCAATAAAATAATTGAGTTTACATTAAAAGTTACTCAAATAAAATACTAACTCAGTTAAAAGTAAAAAAAACATATAAAAAAAAATTAGGAATTTCTTATGGAAAACTTGATTATCTAAAACTATATATTTTTTTAATTTCATAATTAATCTTTAAATTTGGCTTAAATTTATGTGAAATAATGAAAGTATATTAAGCAAATTGACCAATCACAGTTAATTATTTTTTGACCGTAAAAAGAATAGTCGGTTGTGATTGGTCAATTTCTTTATTGCTTACGTCTTATTTCTTAAGTTTTTCTATGTACCACTGGCTTTATATCCCGGTGTAGTAAGCTTTAAGTCGTAAGAAATTGACTAATCACTGTCGACTTATAGAAGAATAATCAATTGTGATTCTTCAATTTCTTACGGCTTACTAAAACTTACTGTACCTATTGTAGATTGAGTCTTAGAAATTCCCCTTAACGAATGTTGCGCAAGCGCTCTCATCCTCTCGTAGTGCCGTACGCTTCATTCCAGTGCGTACCCTCGTAAGATACACATGTCTCACCTTTGAAAAGTGGGTCGGTTGGTCGGTATTATATATTGATATATTAACAACGAAGCCACGGTAAAAATTGCAGCTGAGAGCTTTCACAAGCCTCTTTCTATAGATAGATAGTTACTCTTTTTGTGTATGATGTTTCTGAATATTATATTTGAACGATCTCGGAGCCTTTAGTTTTACTTGTGGTAAAATATATCACTTATCAGTAATTAACAACACACAAGTGTCGCTAGGTCTTGCATCATTATTTTCGCAGAAAATTCAATCCCAAAATGCAAGGTGTAAGATTTCTTTTCAACAAAAGAGACAAATTCATATCACGTGAGTAGTAACATGATGACAGACAGGTATCACTTTTGTCAAATTTTGGCATCTTGACAAGTGATAGAGCCTTACGGAATCATTGTTGGAAAAGATGAAAGTGAAATAGGAGACAGACACTAACTAACTGCAACAAGAAACATTTTCCTTCGTGTCGCTTGTGCGTGGAATATGCTTTCAACGTACATATTTTTACACACAGTGTAAAAATACTTCTTACCGATACAAAAGTTTCCAAGGACACTGTAACTAATCCACCAACGCTGAGGCTGAAAGTCTTGTTGCCTCTTTGCAGGAGAAACAGTATGATCTTCTGCATGTGCAAAAGTGCCTTATGCCATTGGACGTTGTAGCTGTAAAATCACGAGAAGTAATAAGAGAAGTCAACAACCGGTGCACTATAGTCACATTTTTTTGTCGTTCTCAAATTAATAATTTGGAAATAACAGACATATGAATGTTACAACATATGCGTAATTTGGAAATTTTGTTTAATTTCAGTCTCACTATTAGTCACACGACGATCAATGGAATATATATTAATATATATTAATAATAATTTCAAGCGGCGTATGGAAATTACTTTTACGTGGTTACGAACACGTGGTCATTATGATCCGTTGTCCAATATAGTTGCCTATGAACATGTATGTGAAGGTGACCATAGTATAAGAGAGGTAAAGCAAAAGCTCTTCCGTGTCACCACCAAGTATCACAATCTGTAAGGTCTGAAACAAGATCATAAAATTTTTACGGACATGTGAGTACTTAATATTTTCACGCATGCAGCATCCGTCTGGTATATTTTTTATGGTATGAAATTTTTTGAACAAATAAATGATATTAAGCGTCTAAGAAATTTAGTACGTGATACAATGTAAAAACATCAGTATACCTGAAATGTAATAAAGCTTATCATAATGTTGATATTCAAGATCAATTGAACAAGAATGAATTTCGATCGCTTATATAGCCACAGTCCGACAGCGAGTAAGAGATTGATTTTGAAATTCTTACTCGGATCGAAAAGTGGCATCTTTCCCCGATTGCTAAGACGCATTTGAGCGTGAAAATGTAAATAAAACTCCGTTATCCCCTCTATTCGGCCTATCGATAAAATATGCCATCGTTTTCTCTCTTTTCTTCACCACTTGACTGGCACGCGCGCCAAATGTCGCGCGCTTTATGCGAGAAGAAACTCGCCTTACTTCTATGCTGGAAATATATTATTGAATTTAAAAAGTTATTAATCTTATGTTTTCGACATCGAGGAATCCAAATTTTATATAAAAATTAAAGAATTTTTAAACCCCGATGCATTATCGTCTGTTTAATATTCACGGAAAATTCTTTCTTTTACATTGATTTGAGAACTAAGATTATACTCCGGGGTCGTGATTCATATTACCAGCAAAAGTTAACTACGTTTATATGTTTTAGAAATGTTTATTACAATTTGACTTAACAAATAATATTATAAAAGTATAATCTTAGTTCTCAAATCAATATAAAAGAAAGAATTTTCTGTGCGTATTAAACAGACGATAATGCATCGTGGTTTGAAAATTCTTTAATTTTGACATCAAATTTGGATTCCTTGATGTCAAAAACATAACATTAGTAACCTTTTAAGTTCAGTAATATATTTCCAGTATAGAAGTAAGGCGAGTTTCTTCTCGCATAAAGCGCGCGACATTTGGCGCGCGTGCCAGTTGTGGCACGAACAGAGATGCGCCTTTTGGCGCCCATGCCAGTCAAATGGTTAATACATTTTAACGCAATTTTATGCAATAAAAAAATTTACGGAAAATCGTCTCGTCTCCGTCATATCGTTAGCACTCATAATTTTTGTATTTTCGAGGGTGGAAATAAAAGAACAAATTAAACGATCGATGAGACGATTAAAGAAATTTGTCAGATGTGTATTTCTCACAATGTAACACTAGCCAAGGGTGAAACCCCCCTTAACGAATTTTTGCGCATGCGGTGTCACCCTCTCGTAACGCTGCACATATGCTTCAGTTCAGTGCGTGCTCTCGTAAAATACACACGTCTGGCTTTTGATAGAAGAGTCGTTCAGTTGAATTCGTTCAGTTTTACGTTCTGTTATTTTATTACTAAGATTACTGTTATCATTGTTATTATATTTCTTTTTAACAAGTAAACTTACCCAAAAGGTACACTCCGATTTTTTTCTAATTTAGCACAAAAAATATTTAGATCATATTTTTTCAGCTTAGCTTGTTTGGCCTACTTTGCTTCTTTGTTCCACGGGCAATTTATAACTTTTTAATGTTCTCACTCCTATCATCAATAAGTGTAAAAATGCGTAAGAAATAAAATTGAATGGAAGATACAGTTAAATAATTTTAACAAAATCGGCATAGCTGAGACACGAACCATTCTAAATTTCTCTAGCCAAGATTCCGGCGGAAATATTTTAAATCTGTGCTAAATTAATAAAAAATGGTTCGAATCTCGACTAAACCGAGAGAGAGAGAGAGAGAGAGAGAGAGAGAGAGAGAGAGAGAGAGAGAGAGAGAGAAATCCGGCAATTTTAATTAAAATTTTGACAAAATCGGTATAGCTGAGACACGAAACATTCTAAATTTCTTTAGCCGAGATTTCAACCGAAAAATTTCAAATGTGTGCTAAATTAGTAAAAAATGTGGTTCAAATCTCGGCCAAACCAAGAAATAATTTTTTTTAACTTTTTACATGTTTTGTTTAAACATTTTATTATTTATAATTATTTATAATTTATAATTTATAATTTATAATTTATAATTATTTATTATTTATAATTTAATTATAATTATATTAATTATAATTATAAATATAATTATTTATTTATTAAATAATTTTACACATTCGACTTCATATTTATAATCAGTAAACCAAAAACGCCTATATCTTGTATTCAATTTTATTTCTTATACATTTTTGTTGCACTTGATGATAGAAGTAAGAACATTAAAAACTGCCCGTGAAACTCAAAGTGAAAAAATATGACCTAAATATTTTTTGTACTTCTACATTTGTGCCAAATTAGAAAAAAATTGGAGTGTAACTTTTGGGTAGGTTTAATGTAAGAAGAATCGCAGTTACATGTATAATACATGTTATATAATTTCTTTTCAACGATACAGCCTAACTTATTACAGATAATAATGTTAACGCAGATAAAAGTAGTTAGTTAGAAATCTTGTTATCGTAACATTATACCTTTCGAATAGCAGATCCTGGCGTGATCATCGTTGGATCGAATACATGACGGTAAATACGATATCAATGTGCTAAATAACAGGCAATGTTTTTATGTTGCTTATTTTGTGTTGATTACTTTATGTGTACGTACCTTGACGCACAATAAATTTTCTACCGCAGAAAAGTTCTCCAAACATGCTGTAATTAGTCCACTGATGTTCTAGTGAAAGACCTCGTTGTCTTTTCGCAAAATTAATAGTATTATCTTTATATTTTGATATTGTTATATTCTTCAGAGCACGAATTGCAACTCTAAAATTGGGATGCATGCGACAGAATACTTTTTGAGGAAAAATAATTCGTTACATTAAATCGTCGATTCGACACAAGAGGAATTTTTCAATTTGCATTTATTTCCTATAGAAAAATATTCATGAAGATATAACTTAGTGATTGAAAATTGTGCAGATGCAGTCGCTTTCGAGTGACGAGTTTTTTTTTCATGCATTTATTCTAGTGCATACACTCGTATATTAGGCCGGCTTTTCCGTAAAATGTCGTCCTATCTCGAATTTAAGCTATCGAATTTCGTCGCTGATAAAAAACTATATACATATATATATGTCACATTGTGTTAGAATTGTTTTTGTAAAAAACAATTCTAACCATTATTGGTCGATCCTTATTGCCATGTAGAATAAAGGACGGTAAAATAAGAAAGGGAGGTGCTCGTGATCTGTAACAAAATACGTCCTCGTTTGCACTTGTTCATACATAGTGCATCGCGTTGAGTAGATTTTGTAATCAGAGTTGTAAAAATATCATTTAAATTTTTTTCAATTCAATAATTTGAACAAATATGTTTCGACTCAATTAACTGATGATTAAATTGAGTTTTTGTATAAAAAACTATATACATATATATATGTCACATTGTGTTAGAATTGTTTTTGTTTTCTGCTCCTTTTTGCATCTTCTTAGTTATATGTTTCCATAATTTTGTTCGTAGGAATTGAACAGGTCAGTAAGGCTTTTAACCAAATATTTCTCCTTCTCTCTTTCTTTTTTTGTCTTGTTGTTTAATCAGATTTTACACTAGTATTATTTTGCAACATTATTGGTCGATCCTTATTGCCATGTAGAATAAAGGACGGTAAAATAAGAAAGGGAGGTGCTCGTGATCTGTAACAAAATACGTCCTCGTTTGCACTTGTTCATACATAGTGCATCGCGTTGAGTAGATTTTGTAATCAGAGTTGTAAAAATATCATTTAAATTTTTTTCAATTCAATAATTTGAACAAATATGTTTCGACTCAATTAACTGATGATTAAATTGAGTAAATTTAATAAAAAACCATTCAGTTGATGATTGATTTTAACGAATTCAATTAATAAATTGAAGCTTAACTCAGGATTGATATGAGCGAAAAAAATCAAAGATCGCTTAATTAACAATTGAATTTAGCAAATTTAATTAAGGGTCATTTAAATGACGATTAAATTTAATTAAAGGCCGTTTAACTATGTATATGAAAAATTTCTCTCACCGTGGAGGCACTCTCTAAAGATGCCACGATTAGCCCGCCGAGTTTCAGTTTGAGATCCTTGATGCCAATTTGTAATAGAAACAGTATCATCCTTTGTATATCCACTGGGGCTATGTACCACTGAACGTTGTATCTACGAAAGTATAGGATACTGATAATTAAAGGAAAAGGAATAATGTGAAAATTTAAGTAAAATCGTTGAAATAAAAGTTTTTCTAAATTTCCAGCGTGCACGCATCCATCTTACGAGTAAATCACACAATTATTGATCAGTCAGTATATTATCAGTAAAGTTTTCAAATATAAGATTTTTTTAAACTTTTTGCAGGCACTCTATGATTTCAAAAGAAAATTTCATACTTAAAACTGATCTGCCGCTAGTCGCGAGAAAGACTAGGTTTTTCTAAAGTGCCAATGTTTAAGGAGAATGCCAATAATTGTGTGGATTATTCTATTTTGTAAAATGGACACACATGCGCCACATTCCCGAGTAAAAATGTATCTAGTAGGACAGATTTCAAGACTAGTAGTTAGATAGTAATGACTAGATAAGTTTTCTAGCCAGTCACCAGCTCGTGACTGGCTAAATATTCCTACTCAGTCTTTTGAATGTCAGGACTATCTAGTGACTATACCAATTACATAGATAGTAGCTAGATGAAAAAGATTACACAGTAACGAGATAGAAAATCATCCGTAAATCCTGAATAGAAATTAGATATCAGAACTGTCTAGTAACTGTAGTAACCAATTATAGTTACAATTACTTTTTTGTATCCAGCTACTAGATAATTTTTCTGGTGCAGCCACTAGGAGAAGTGAGCGTTACATTCCTAGCTAGTAGCCATGTAAGACCCAGCTTTTCTATATCATTACTAGACAGTCATTAGATTCAATTTTTGCTCGGGCTATTGTACATGCATAATAATGCGATGATTCTCTTACACAGTCTCGAACACATGTTTATTGTGATCCGTGACTTCTTGCGCGACGTAGCTCATTAGGTACAAGTATAAAAGAATTGAAATTACGAGCGACAGATGTAACAATAGCTCCTCGATATCATTCCCGAACGATACAAGCTGAAAAGTCTAAGCATCCACGGTTGTCACATAAATCCCTTTATCTGATGATCAGTTATTCTTTAGATAGACGAGTTTCGTAAAAAAAAGTGAGAATATAAGAAATAAAAGAACAGGACGCACACGCTAATTTCACTATGTTTCGTGGAACATTTGCAATTTCGCGGTTTAGCGATTTTAAAATTGGCACGACTTGAAATAACATCACTCATCATTCTTATGACTTCTCCATCGTACATGTTGTGTTTTATTCATATAGATCTTTTGAATTTTGATATTATGAAGTATTATATATTATACATTGGTTGTTCGGAAATATATTGAATAGCAAAAAGACTCACGCGGAAAAGGTTGAGACTCAAACAGGCCACACCAACCGCCAATATACAAAAGAACATTCCCTCGAAACTGGTTACAACAAATTTGGTGAACCTTCAAGAACAAGAGGGTATGTTAACGCGCATACCATTACTGTACCGTCGAATGAATACCTTAAAGATTTTCGGTGAATATCCACAGCGTAAATTATTTTCTCACAAATCATTACCTTATCCTTGACATTTTGTAAGATATCGTTATTTATGGCTTGCTCCATTCGGTAACTATAAACAATATTCTTGCTATAATTATACAGTATATTCAAGTCTGTTAGAAAGAACAAGAAAAGTTTCACTTGCGGTTTAAATGTCCGTTAATCCATTTGTAAACTTCGCTTTTAAACTCACTTCTTTACCTGGCAATTTTAAATATTCCGCAGGCATGTTTGAAGTACGTTAAGAACATCGCTGCTGACGCGACCGTCGCGAGTGTTCCAATGCAAAAGGACGCGTTCATGTGCAGCATGATCAAATAGAAATATTTTTCTTGGTCGACAAAATATTCCGTCGTGACTTGAATCGCGCTACGTGATCGAGAATCGTTCAAGAACAGAAGAAAGCCAAATATGCGCGGCCAAATCGGCTGGACATTAACAGCAACTACGTAGCACATCGCGAGCACTGAGAATATTCAAGAAAGTAATCATAAAAGTGTAGCTGTGCTTTTAATTTCCCAGTACATTGTATTGTCGCAAAGTTCAATATTGTCAATGTTTTCCAGATTGACATTACTTCATTAAAGGTTTTTTTCCAAGCTAAAAATTAATAGATATTCTCTTACATATGAGTATAATCGTATAACGTCTCGCGCTACATCCATAATTCTTTATAATAGCAATTTCATTTTCGTCTTTTAGTTCGTTGCAAATTTGTTGAAGCTCCTCCAATAAATATTTTGTCTACCAACGAAGAAGAATTTATATTAGATCTTTGTTACGACATTGTGACGAGATTGTGTAAAATAAGAATTTATTTATCAGAATCATTTATAGAGATCAATACAAATGCTTGACTTACATTGTGAATGTTAATGCGAAATGCGTTATATTTAATAAGATAAATGATGGAGATACACGTGATAGAAAGAACGTTGATAACAAACTCCGGAGTACATTCTGTGGTTAAAAAGGCTGTAAGCTGCAAGTGATAAATTTATTTAAAACATAACATAAAAGATGCTTGAACAATGCAAGCTTGAAACAGTCAACTGCATTCTTAGATACCTTACAACACAGCGAGGCGCTTATAATCGCATTCCCGAGCAAAAATTGAATCTAGTTATTGTCTAGTAATGACACAGAAAAGTTGGGTTTTATATCGCTACTAACTAGGAATGTAACGCTCAATTCTCCTAGTGATTGTACCAGAAAAATTATCTGGTAGCTGGATACAAATTGTAATTAAATTGTAATTGGAAGTAAATTGTAACTATAATTGGTACAGTTATTAGACAGTTCTGATATCCAATTTCTATTCAGGATTTACCGATGATTTTCTATCTCGTTACTGTGTAATCTTTTTCATCTAGCTACTATCTATGTAACTGGTAGTCACTAGATAGTTCTGACATTCAAAAGACTGAGTAAGAATACTTAGCCAGTCACGAGCTGGTAACTGGCTAGAAAACTTATCTAGTGATTACTATTTAGCTATTAGTCTAGCTAGTAAAATCTGCTCTACTAGATACATTTTTACTCGGGTTGCTGCAGTCTTTGATAATTGGATATATCCCTATTATGTTTATATAATCAGTGTTACACACGGAGAAAATATAGCAGTAAAAATTACGTTAAAATTATAATTATTTTTTACAATCTATCTGGTATTTTATACGATACAAAAAATATTCAAGTAATTAGAATAATTTTGTAATAAAAAGTAATTTTGGTCACATAATTCTCTCTCTCTTTCTCTCTCTCTCTCTGCATGCTCTAATATATTACAAAATTACAAAATATTACAAAATTACAAAAATTTTGTTGAAATTTTTATTATAATATTTCCCATACAGCACAAATGTTCAATAGATATCCTAAGAACGTTCTGAGAATATTCGAATATTCTTAGAACGTTCTTAGGATATCTATTGAACATTTGTGCTATATGGGTTTCTCTGCGTATAATTACATTTATACTAGACATAAAGATCCCCTTCTTGGCTTTGTAGCTGAATGGTAATAAACTACTACAACTAGACACAAAGATAAACGATTTTCATAACTAGCAGCGCGAATTCACTTACCTGGAATACAATGGAGCTCGTCAGAATCCCGAAGATGAAGATTACTTGAAACTGGACGAGTCTCGACTGCTGATAAGGCCATAAGCCAATCGCAAGCAGAAGGATTCGATTGATGTTAAAGTGTTGAGTCTGTATAGAGATCATCTCTCTGCCAGCACTGCTATATGTTTGACGATGAGAAATTCGTCGAGCCTTCGCTCATCCCCACTTTACGACCGTTCGGTCAGTTATTTCGGCCTTCCCATTTTCCATTTTTTCCTGACTGTATTTCTATTCTAACTATATAACAACATAAATGACCTAAAACTGGGCTTAAACGTAATGCAAGAAATATCACCGTGCGACCGGAACACTCGCGGTTTAGAGTATTCGCCGGCGAAGAGTTCGGTGATTACGTGATCGATTGAATACAAACGTAATTTAAAATAATGGACGTTTATTTCTCATCGAGAAAACATTAGCGAGGATATTTGTCGACGGAGGACTGCGCAGTTATCACCTCGCAGTCAAACGTTTCCACGTACTTCATATCGGTGCGTGGAAACTTATAAATTACAGTTGGTTCTCTGAAAACGGGTTCTTCCATCTTCGAAACTGGCATGCAAATTATCGTTTTGTTTCTAATAAAATACTCGATGTCGCACCTTACTGAAAATATTTTCATCTCGTGTTTCTACTTCGTCTTAGCACCTTTAAATTTCTGCGCGGATCAGCAAAGTTTTCGTTTATATTTTATCCTAGCCTTTTTTGTCAGTACCAATTTCAAGTTAACTTGAGCTAACATAACTTTAAGTTTAACTCGAATATATCTTTGAATGTTAATTCAATACACCATTAAGTGATATTAGCTGTTGGTTGATAATATTTACGTCATTGTCGCGTGGAATAAAGAATGGTGAAGTAAGATATGGAGGCACTCATCAGCTGTAAAACGTAAAATGCCTTTCTTTATAATGTACATTCTTAGTACTGTGTGTTCGATATACATTCTAATATATATTGTTATTCATACCGTAGAGGCACTTTCCAAAGACGCTACAAATAATCCACCGAGGCTCAGAGTGAAAATCTTGGTGCCTCGTTGCAACAGGAATAGTATCATCTTCTGTATGCGTAATGGAGCTATGTACTACTGGATATTATATCTACGAAAGGATGAGCATTTGACATTTTTTAGAAAAAGTAAGAAAATTATCTGAAAATAATTATTGCCACTTGATCATATACGAGTATTCGCAGTATATAATGTTCCTTTTACAAAATGTCGAGAATTACGTCGTAGAGCGAATATCTTTGTTAAATTAGTGCAATAATCGTGCAGTATTGATTCCCTTACGCGGCTTCGAATACGTGATTATTATGATCCGTAACTTCCTGTGCGATATAGCTCACCAAGAATATATATAAAAGAATGGCATATACAATGCTAACATGTAAGGAAAGTTCCTGGATGTTCTTTTCAAACGATACAATCTGAAAGATCTAACACATAGATTTAAGATGAGTTATGTTGCGAAAAATATTGATTGCTTGAAAGAGTGATTCGTGCGTTAAATTTAATTGTTTGATAAAATTCTTGTTTTTGCAATAAGCATAATTTGAAATTTAAAACTTTGATCGCTTGGATTGCATCGAATTCCTCTTTATTCGCGATTTTTATGAATATATGGATTATAAATTTTCATCTTACTTGTAGAAATATAATTAAAAATAGGAAAGCGACTTACTTGAAAAAAGTTGAGACTTAGACAAATTACACTAAACACCAACAAAATGAGAAACATACCCTCAAAAGTGGACGTAATACATTCTGAGGACCTTCAAGAACAAGAATGTGTGTTAATGCACGAAATGTATATCTGTTGTCGAACGAATACCTTAAAGCTTTGCAATGAATATCCACGGCATAAATTATCTCTCTACAAATCATTATTTCATTCTTCGGTTTAATATTTTGTGAAGGATCTGTGTCCATTGCTTGCTCGATACGGCAACTACAAATAATTTTTTAGCTATTATCATGCAGTGCATTTAAATTTGTTAAATGTGACAAGCAAGATTTTAACTTTGGAACATTAGGTATGTGTCCAGGAATTGGACTTACTTACAAAGTCAAATCGTCGTACTTACTAAGCTAAGTCAATTTTGTTTTCTTACCTAGCGATTTTGAGCATCGCGCAAACGTGTTGGAGATATCCCACAAGCATCATACCAATCCCTAGAGATATGAAAGTCCCTAGACAAATGGTTACGTTCGTGTGCAGCAGAATTATAAAAAAATGTTTCTCTTGGTCGATAAAATATTCAGTTTTGATCGGTATTGTTCGTTGTAGTTGAGTGTCATTAATGAACAGAAAAATACCAAATGTGCGTGGCCACATTGACTGGGCATTGCTAACAAGTATGTAGCAGAATGTAAACACTAAGAATAGTTAAAAAAGTAGTTATAAAAAATTAATACTTTCTAATATTCTAAAACAGTAATCTAAAATCTAAAGCATCTAAAATATTGAGCGTTAAAAATTTTTAATTCATATTAATCTTTTATCAGATATGTGTAGTCACACATCATTTTTTTTGGATATTATATATTCTAATATATAACGATCAGATCAAACAGTGGAGTAAAGTTTTCAGACATACAAATTTTAACATGACTATTCACTTGACAACAGAATAATAACTCAAACGAGCTTCTTACCTACTAATATAACAGAATAACGTTTCACCTCGTATGCATAACTTTTTATGATAGCAATTTCTTTCTCACTCTTTATTTCGTCGCAAATTTGTTGAAGTTGCTCCAATAAATATCTCATCTATCAAAGCAAGACGAATTTTTTGTCATTTCTCTTTGTTATATTTTGCAAAGAGCGTGCAAGAACTCATTTATCAGAAATATTTCTACCACATTGAATACACCAAATAATACTCAACTTACATTTTGGATCTTGAGGAGAAATCCGTTGTATTTGATAAGATAAATAATGCAAGTGAAAGCGAAGGAAAAAACATTGATGACAAGGTCCAGAGTGCATTTTGTTGTTATGAACGTTGTAAGCTGTAAGTGATATGATTTTTGAAGAAATTAATTAATTTCTCTCTCTCTCTCTCTCTCTCTCTCTTTCTCTCTCTCTGTTTGTTCGGTTAAATTATTGCAGACCTTAAACACTGGGCTGTGTTCCAAGGTGTAACAACACAACAAGAAGTTTATAATTAAGTTATAAAAGTTTTTACAATTAAATATATTACTATTTTATGTACAAGTTTATGTATTTGATATTAATTTCATTTAAACTTTTTTCTCTATTAAATTAGAATATAATATTAAATATAATGGAATACTTACATAAATATACTTAAAACTATAATTTTAAAGGAAATTATATTTAGCAAAGTTAAATGATAATTATATTAAGCATGAAAGAAAGATATGAAATTATATTTAGCAAAGTTAAATGATAATTATATTAAATAGTTCTGTTTATTGTAAACATATTTAAATAATAAATGTCTCACGTACCTGGAATACAACGGAACTTATTAGAATAATAAAAATTAATATTATTTGAACCTTGACGACTTTCGACCGTTGATAAGGCCATAAGCCAACCGCGAGCAAGAGGATTCGGTTGATGTTGAAATGTTCAGTCTGGATACAGATCATTTCTCAGCGAGTGCCGCGATAGATTTGACGGCGAGAAAGTCGGCGAAGCTTCGCCGACATCCTCACTTTTCGACCGATAGATTGACTATTTTACGTCGTGCAATTTTCTCAGCGTGTATTCGAACGTAAACGCGCTAATTTAACTGAAACGGCGCTATAAAATATTACCGTTAGATCGGAATACACGCAATTTAACGTTCTCGCAGTGTAATCGGCAATTACGCAATCGATTGAACATAAGTGTAATTTTAGCAGGTGTTTATTTCTCATCGGGAAAATAATGGCGAAAATACTATACTTATCGATATACAGAAGCCCGCGCAGGTGCAGTCGCCGCCTCACACCGACGCATTTCCACCGACGTGTTTTATTCTCGACTGCGTACTAGTAAATAACAGTTGGTACTTTCCAGAGGTCGTCCTACTTTAGCAACCGACATACCGGCATACTATCAGTCTACCGCCGATGAGTGTCCTACGACATTTTTTAAATTAAACTTTTTTTGAGTATTTATTTATTACACTTACTTGATAATTCTTGTTATAGTGCCGTGGAATAAAGGACGGTGAAATAAGATACGGAGGTACTCGCTAACTGTAAGAAAAATAATCGTTCTTTGTGACATTTATTCATAACATGTTATGTTCGTTATAGGGTAAACTCGGATAAGATGGCCATACTTTTTTAAAATGCAAAAAAATACATTTTTTATTGTTATTTCTTAATAGTGCTTGGCACATTATTTCACTGAAGTCTACAGTACATAATACCATCAGAGTTAAAAGGAAAATATTTCAGTGAAATTATTTATTACAAAAATATCAAAACATGAGCATTAGCCATCTTACCTAAATTTTTAAGACAAGATGGCCATAAGGAATAGATGATCCATACATATTTTATATTCAAGATTCTGTACCTATTATTTTATAAAATACAATGTAACATAATTATTTATTTTATAAAATACTAATAAAAACATAACATATTCATTTTAGTATAGGATATCTAATACATATTATTTGTGAAAAATATAAAATAGAAACCTCTATTACAAAACTTAAATTCTAAGTCCAATTTTTTATCAAAACATATTGCACATAAGATTGAATTACTAATATTAAAAATAATTTTTGAAATATAACGACTTTTGTTTTATAAATATTAAATGATAGTGGGCCATCTTACCCAAAATGTGAGTAAAAGACAGTTATAATAGTACTTATAGTGAAACAAATAGTGAAAACGAAAATAAAAATGTATGTTATATTACAATTTATATATCTACTTTATGTATCTAACGTTGATTGCGGTAGCTTAACTATAATTTATTTGACGTTACAGCAAGTTTTAGTGGACACATGAGAAATTTTACAGTTAGTCGAAAATAAAAATATAGTGTAATATTCATAATTTTGCTATTTCGAAAAATGTACGCACATATACTATGATACATATCGATTATCTTTATGACTGATTACACAAATGCAATGTTTTGCAATTATTAGAGAAATTACAGCCTATCTATAGGCCTATAGCCATCTTTCCAGTATAGCCATAATACCCGACTTTACTCTATTGCGATAAAATATTATTCAGACCGAGAATGCACTTTTTAAAGATCCCACGAACACACCGCCGAGATTCAAAGTGAAAGCTTTGGTGCCATTTTGTAATAGAAACAGGATCATCTTCTGTATGTGTATTGGAGTTACGTACCAACGCATATTGTACCTTCAAAAATTAGCGAATGACAAATGAGAGAAGATGTGAGAAAATAATTATCATATTATATTCATCATAAGCGTTTTTGTTTCACAAGCTGTAATATTTTCAAAGAATACAATAGTATCTTTAGCGGAATCTTTTAAATAATGTCGCTCTCTCTATCTATTGCTCTATCTATTGTTCTCTCTAATATTTTAGAGTCTAATAGGTTTAGGAAAATCGTAGAGAGAACAATTCTTTCTACTTTGGCTTCAGAAAATATATCCTGTTGAAACCTCTATGTCCTCAAGAAGATTATTCTAAAACTAAAAAAAATATCAGTACGATATTGAGGTACAATGAATTCTATGTATAAACTTATTAAAAAAATAAAAATATCCTCCAAGTAAGAGGAATTTTGTCTTTTATCTACAATCATCAATACTACATTACATACAATAATATCAGTCTTATAATTATCTACAATATATCTTCCGTATTGCGCGTAAAAGAGCATTCTATTTTAAATAAACATACTCTTGATTCATTTTGATTCGAAAGAAAAAACATAAAACAATATATTATAGATTTCGAATTAATAGTCCACTTTATTGAAAGAGGAATTACTCTTTGGGAAAAGTTTCTGCTCAGAATATGAAATTATCGAACGTAACATCTCTTACAACTAGATTTTTTTTTTAGTGTTAGAATATCCTTTTTGACTTTGGAAGGAAATTGTTAAGTCACATATAAGAGGATTTCGCTAAGAATGACTACATTTCTTGTGAATCACAAAGCGTATCATTGATAGTTATTACATTATATAGCACGCATATAAGTATAATAGTTCTCTTACGCTGTTTCAAATACGTGCTCATTGCAATTCGTAACTTCCTGCGCAGCATAGTTTATTAAAAATATGTATAAAAGAATGGTAAATATAAATGTGATATGTAACGTAAGTTCTTCGATGTTGAATTCAAACGTTACGATCTGAAAAACCTGAGACACGAATTTAAGATAAGAGAATTATATAAAAAAAATCTGAAGCCTAAAAAATAGAAAAGTGACCAGTAAGTTAATTTCGCATTATTTTGTAAAGATCGTAATTTTTTACTAGTATAATTAGAGATTTTTTAATTTTTATTACTTTCGTAATTATTTGACAATATATATTCTTTTGTTTGTGGTTTCTAAAAACTTGGATTTTGAAGAATTGTCGTGTATTGCTAATTTAGAAGTATGCTTAAAGATCGAAGAAGAACTCACGCGATAAAGATTGAGACTCATGCAGCTGACACCAAATACTAATAATAAAAAGAACATACCCTCGAACGTGGATATAGTGATTTTGGAAAAGCTTTAAAAATAGAAAAATGCATTATTACCCATACTATATGCATATTCCCAGATAGCACAAAATCTCCAGAGAATATTCTGGGACGTTCTCAGGATGTATGAATGTCTTTAGAACGTCCTTTAAAGATTTGTGCTGTATGGGTTGTTGAATAATTACCTAAGAGCTTTGCGATGAATGTCCACAGCATAAACTATTTTCTTACAAATCATCATTTCATCCTTTGGACTAATATTTTGTAAAACATTAATATCCATTGCTTGTTCTATACGATAACTAGAAATAATTATCAGGCTATTATTACATCGTAATGGAGGGAAGAGGAGGAATAGTGTGTGTGTATGTGTGTATGTGTGTGTGCGTATGAGATTTCATACGTACAATCGCATTTATTCCTTCGCCATATTTTCTTACCTGGCTATTCTGAACATTCCGCAGATATGCTGCAAATATCCCATGATCATTGCTGTGATTGCTAGGACTATGAACGCCCCTATACAGAGAGTTGCGTTTGTGTGCAGCAGAATGACATAGAAGTACCTTTCTTGATCGAGAATATATTCATTCATGATCAGCATGATTCGTCGCGGTTGGGTATCATTTATAAGCAAGAAGATACCAAGCACGCGCGGCCACATTGGCAGGAGATTAATCATAATTAAGTAGGATATTGATAGCACTAGACATATTCATAAATAGATATTCTTAAAAACTGCTATTTTCCAAGCTTTTTATAAAATTGTTCTAAACTATAAACAATGTAAAACATCGAATGGTAAAGTTAAAATTTTCGATTTTATCATTCTCCAAGCACTTTTCATATATCTACTTATTATATTATTTATATTACACTTTCATATTTTGTGTGACAAAAAGTACTTGATCGTTAACATTTTACCCATATATTGTCTATCTCGCTCGTTAGCAAAAAGTAATGCAAGTCAAATAATGTTTTCTTACATGAAAATATAATGATATAACGTTTCATAACAACTGCATTATTTTCTATAATAGCGATTTCCTTTTTGTTCCTTAGTTTACTACAGATTCGTTCAAGTTGATTCAACAAATATTTCACCTACCAATGAAAACGAATTTACATCATCTCTTATTGTAATATTTTACGACAGTTTGACATTTTAAATTTCCACGGTGTGATGAAATTCTTGGTTTCCGGATTGATATCATTCTTCATGGGATTGTATTTGACGTTTCCGTGAACATTCCGGCTCATTTCCTCAGCAGGCTTCTTCAGTAGAGTAACGATCTGAGAACTGATACCGAAGAAGTCTCCTAAACAGGAACCTGAATATTCACGAAACATCGGAAACAAATTCATGAAGAGAGCGGTACTAGAGTCCCTATAATAAGAGTCTGGTCTATGTTTTTAGTTCGACAAAACATGGCGTCGTAGATAAGATGAGATAAGATTAAATAATATGAAGGTTGCGTTCCGAAATTCACTGCCAATACTGAAATTCTATAGTATACGTAACAAAGAACTGAAATTCTATAGTATACGTAACAAAGAACTATAGATTTTCAGTACTGGCAGTGAATTTCGGAACACAATTGAAATAAAACTTCTCTAAGATATGAAGAACTCATACAGCGTGACAGTATAAACATTATTAGTCAAGACTAATGTTTATTAATACTAAAGTACTAATAGAAGTTATATAAAGAAGTAATAAACAGCAGAAGTAAGTAAATAACTTATAATAAAATAATATATATAAACATTGTAATGCATGCGAATGTGTTGAATAATAATAATGTATCAAAAATAATTTTCTAACTTGTCATATTGTATCGAATGTGTAATATAAAGTATATATAAATTATTACAGAAAATAATTGAAGTGATTGAAAACACGTTTCTTTCTTTCTTGTTCCTTTTCTATCATTTGAATAATATCGCTCGCAAAGCATAGATTCGAGACATCTTATTGGTTCCGCCATATTTTGTCAAAACCAATAGAAAGTTTAACAACATAGGCCAAACTCTTACTATAAGGACTCTAGCGGCAATTCAGAAGCCAGATCAAGTATATTGAGACAGTTGTGGTGTATAAAAATTTATTTGGTAGAAACGTCCATTAAAATGTGCACGCAAGTGTGTTCAACTCACATTTTGGATTTTGATGAGAAACGTGCTGTATTTAGTAAGATGAATGACGAAAATCAACGTTATGGATAAAATATTAATGACAAGGTCCAGAGTACATTTTGCAGTTATGAACGTTGCGAACTGCAAGCGACAAATTCACATTGAGTAAGAGGCATTCAAAATTTGTTTGTCTATTTGATTAAAAAAATGTGTGTCTCTAAAACAGTTAAACGTGTTTTTACACGTAATGATCCAACGAAAAATTCATAAATTATATTGGTCCCGCAATCGATAATAATCAAACATTTATACATTTAATATTATACAATTATATTTAAACGTGGGGAAAACCGTCACAATTAATAACAGTGTTTTACGTACCTGTAATAAAATAAAGCTTGTTAGGATACCAGAAATTAAGATTATCTGAATCCGAGCAAGCTTCGTTTGCCAATAAGGCCATAAGCCAATACCTAGCAAAAGGAGCCGGTTGACGTTAAAATGCTGCTGCAAGTCGAAAGAGATCATTTCTCTGTGAGCACTACGATATTTTTGACAAGAAGCGGGTCATCAAAGCTTCGTCTACCCCTCTTTCTAACCGTTCGATAAAATTTTCAAGTTTTATCATTTGTACAATTTCATTTGCTCAATTTCAACTATACACCAACGTAAATGGCTCAATTTGACATTAAACTATCGCAGGATGGTGAAATCGGAGCGATTACCGGGAAAGCGTTTTTGCTAGGGAAGAAGTTAGTAAATTGCAGTGGATTGATTGTACGTAAACATAATTTTAATGGACATTCATTTCTCGTAGTAAAGATATATGCGTAGCTATATGTTGATTGAAAGCCGCGCAGACGCATTCGCCACCTCGCTGCGTGCATCTGTCAGTTATGTCAGAACCTTCGGCGAGATATTAGTCTTTCTACCTTAGGAATCACATGAAGTCTTCGCGTATCTCGTTGAAAGTATCACGGTTTTGTTTTCTTCCTTACGTTTCCGCGACAACTATCTTTTTTCCAACCGCGATATATGTCACGTAAAGTAATAATAATAACGTGAAGTAATAATAATAACGTGAAGTAATAATAATAACGCGAGTGGAATCTTCCCAAGAAGTGCCATTCTATTTTGTTCCGCTGTATATAACCGTTGTGTTTAGTTGTTTATAAAAGACAGTTGTTCAGATTTTCACATTAACGCCTTGTCTAAACGAAGAGAATATTATAGTAAAAATTGCTATAGAATTTTAATTTTATATATGCTTTTTTCATATATGCCATTTATAAATTAGGAACTGGTACTAGTATGAAAAAAATTTTCCTTTTTTTAGTGAAATTTGATATGTTCCTTAGCAAGATAGGCCTTATTGACAGTTGATTCCTGCATTACTAGAAATATGGAAAAACTAAAAAGAATAAAATTTTAATATTATATACTTTTTCCACCTGTTAGTTACAATTATTACATATTATTAGCTTTTACCAAGAGATTGTCGTATGCAATTGTTTTGTTTACTAAAATAATTGTTTGTATATGTTTTTTTTCGAAAAAGTCTCCGATATTTCCTTGGCAGCTACAAATAAATTCGTATATTCACTAGTTTTAGTTGTCTAAGTTACAGTGACTATCGTTTGTTTCTACTTAGCCTCTCCTTTTTCTACTAATGTTCATTTCATTGTATGTTGCATGGAATAAAGAAAGGTGAAGTAAGATACCGTAGTAGGATTTTCTTGCTTACATCAATCTGTTCTACGTTTTCATAAAAGTCATCATGGAAGTCTCAGACATCCTGTATATTATTCCAAGATCTTGATAAAATAGATGCACAAAAATTCTAATTGCAAAGTCGCTATGTTATTTCAAATAATGATCGTAAGTGAAAGACGAAGCAAGTTGCCTTACTAAACAATCCAGCTGTAGAACGCTACGCCAGCTGTCCGTACTTCCTTATGATAATGATTTCATTCTCGTCCTGTAGCTCGTTGTAGATGCGCTGAAGCAATTCCAGTAGATACCTTATCTGCTGGTTTAACGGTAATTTATTTTAATATTCTTACTTAATTGTTAATAATAGTTAGTATTTTTTTTAACACTACAAGTGTTTGGACATACGTTGTTATTATCAGAACAGAATAATATGTTAAATAATTCATCATTATATTATCGTATCATAAGAAGCAAATAACATTTCGAAATAATATAAATATATGTTAAACTAACACACATCTATATATTACGTATTTCAACTTTTGTAGATGTCAAAGTGACTTTGAAAAAATGTTAATTTTTTTAAATAATTGTGTTAAAATTAAAATTAAAATAAAATTAAAATAATATTTAATTTTTAAATGACACATTTGTTAAATTATGAGCTTGTTATTAATCTAACACATCACGTAACGAAAATAATATATCAGTTGCATGTTAATCTTACAGAGATAATAATTAAAAATTTTCAAAAATAACGAAAAGAAAATTTATGCGCAAAATTTTTTACAGTATATAAGATGTTTTTGAAACAAGAATATTCTTTTTCTATCTAGATACAAAATTGATCGTATCGTTTTTTTCACACTTCACACAAACGTTGATCTTTGTGCAAACACGATATTTGGTGTACAATTCACTTACAGCTTTGATATTAGCTCTGAATGAGTTGTATTTGATGACCAAGGTGATGAAAAATAATGTAGAAGAAAGAACCTTGATGAGAAGATCCGGAGTGCATTCTAAAGTCACGAGAGACGCAAACTACAGACAAAAATTTTATACAGATGTTTGCATTACAATAACGCAGAGTTTTTCTATCTAATTAGAAAGAAAAAAAGAGATTACAAATTGTCTTTGTATCTAAATTAAATTAAATTAAAACAACTTGAAAGATAGTAAAGAGAGGTGATTTGTTATGTGATCGCAAAATATTAACAAAAGGGAATCTAAAAACATCACTCACTACTTTTGGTCTTGAATATATTGTAAAAGATAAGAAATATATATATTTTTAGGAGTGTTTTGTCGCACGTCTAGAAGTTGTAAAAATCTCTCTTGAAGCTCTATTATTATTAGATATTCTATAGGTTATCGACAGATATTTTTGAAATCATGAAATATGTAAGAGAATATTTTACAATATTTTTTTACTTAATAATACATCCAAATTTTTGACAAATGTCTCATATATATTTCTCAATATGTACGCTTTCATCCCTCGTTATTATTTTTACAAGTCTAAAAATTTCTGTAAGGACAAATTAAAAAAAATTTTACATCAAGTCAGATCATATACAATAAAATAACTTTCTGGTATCGTATTTTTGTGATATATGTTGTGAAGTTGTGTTATGAATGTTTGACGAGAAACTTATGAGAAAAAACTAAAAGAATATATCTCTTAGTTTCTCTACGATATATTCAAGACTTATCGAAAAATGCGAATCTTGTCCACACCTCTCTTTACAAGAACGTTTTAACATACCTGAAATAAAATGAAGCTTATCAAAGTACTAAATAACAATATCAGCTGTTTATTGAACCAGTTTAGATTGTCGGCAATTTCTTCGACGATACCACCAAATGTTTCAGTCGCGTGTATTTTCTTATATATACAGGGTGTCCGGTAACTGATCGAGCAGCCGCCGTATACGGGTAGAATGGGTCAAAATAATCATTAAAGTTATATACGATTTTGAAATTTTCTCAATATTTATTCCATAATTAATTAAAATGTATAAACGAATGAGCTCACGAGAAGCGGTAGGACAGGCTCTGTGTGTAAAAAAAATAGCTTACCTCTTAGCAACGATAAGTAAACAGCTGATTTCGAGGCGGAGTAACGTATACGTATCTCTTATTACTCCGCCTCGATATATCTGTTTTTTGATATGATTAATTATATACTGATCAATAATTAGTTTTATCGATCGATTAAATTATATATGATTACATACATGGTAATTCGTTAATTTTGATTACTGATTCACCGAAAATTTTACTCAAAGATAATAATGTAGAACATTGATGAGATTTCGTCAAAAATGACGAGAAAATAATCGAGTTGTGATTGCAAAGTAAGTTTTTTTAATTTTCTCATTATTTTAACGTTATCGATTTTTTTCTGCCTAGAATGTCGACTCGGGCAAGATGTCCAAATTGAAGTAATTATATCTCTTCCTTGACACCTATAAAAAAATTCGTACATTGACTAGTTTTAGCTGTCTGAGTTACAGCGACTATCGTTTGTCTCTACTTAGTCTCTCCTTCTACTAATGTTCATTTCATTGTATGTTGCATGGAATAAAGAAAGGTGAAGTAAGATATCACAGTACTCAAGATCTGCAACGATACGCGTTTTTTATTTCATCTAGTCCATTTAAAAAAAGCGTACGTGGTTGAATGTATATCGGTTTATTTGTTCTTACCATGACGGCACTTTCTAAAGATCCCACAATAAATCCACCGATGTTCAGAGTGAAGACCTTGCTACCTCTTTCCAATAAAAATAATATCATCTTTTGTATGTTTAAGGGTGCGACGTACCATTGTACGCTGTATCTGTAAGACGATGATATAATGATAGAATTGCGAAAGTGGAATCCGTAAAGTAATTTCACGTACTCGCTCTATGAACTCGCTCTAATCAAGTCTGTAAATCGTGGAACCCTAAACATGGCTCAATTCTACTGTGCGCATCCTCTTTTGCTTATAACGCCTGAAAAATTCTCGAAAAATTAATATTTTTTAAATATATTTTATATATTTTTATATATATGATATATTTTTTATATATTTTTTATATATGTTCTGTGTGTGTGTGTGTGCATTCTATACAAATATATTTTCTACATAGAAAGTTTAAATATTCCTATTTAAAGACACACACAGCTAATTGATACATTTATCTTATAATGAGAAACAAAATACACGTGCTTTTCAAAGTATATTTTATTTCCAAGCGTGTTTGGATAAATTTTACCCATGTTTAGAGTTTTTAGCAAAGTATGGATCCTGATGTATTTCATGCTCTTCATCTTTACCACTGAGAAACTTGTGTCGGAGGAAACACATGTCCGGAAAAATGAATCTCGATTTTTCTCATGAAAATGGGAAATATGTAGCGCGGCGACGAATGCGTTCGTGAACGTCGTACTTACACGGTGGTGTACACGTGATTACTGTGGTCCGTAATCTCCTGTGCGACATAGCAACCTATTATCAAATACATTATATAGGTAATTATAAACACAAAAGGGAACGAGATCTCGATGTTGTTATATTCGCCCATCATTATCTGAGAAATCTGAAGTACGAGCATATTGGAAGATTATTGGCTAGATCAGTCTCGATTGAGCTTGCAGATGCTTTTTTGTAGAAAAGTTTTGGTTAAACGGTAAATATATCTTACTCGAAATAAATTGAGAGCACCACAGAGTACGCCGATGATTATTAAAAGAAAAAACGATACTTTGAATTTGGATACCGACATGTTGGAGAACCTTCGGACAGAAAAAATAAGAACACATTATCGTGCGTCATAACGTATTTTCAGTGGAAATACTAACTGCATGGCTTTGCGGTGGATGTCCACGGCGTATATTAAACTCTCGTAAATTAAATTGCTGTCCTTATTTTTGCCGTATTTTGCAGTTCCGGCTATCATTGCGTGCTCGATACGGTAGCTGCGAATAATTTGTGTTCTTGTTGTTTACATAAAATATAATTACGTTTAATTACGTCTAATTATGTAAATTCTCATAGGCCAGGTGTTTGCAATTATATAAAGCTTTTCTGCGTTTCGTTCCAAGATGTCAAGTAACATATGTCGCACAAGTACGACTCGGGTTCCCGTGTATCTTCAGGTTTCTTCAATTACCTAGCGATTTGAAACATTCCGCAAGCGTATCGAATAAACGTCATCAATATCGTTCCTGTCGCTAGCATTGCGACTCCACCCACCAAAAAAGCTGCGAACGCGTGCCATGTGATCAGTTGAATATACTTCTCTTGATCGACAAAGTATTCGGTAACAAACTGCAACTGTTGCCGCGGTCGAGGCTTATTCAAGGGCCACAAGATGTCGAGAATGAGCGGATAAATTATGTACAAGAGTGACATAATTATGATGAACACGCTACATGCTGAAGAAGAAATTAAGTTATCGTTATTGTATAGGATGTCTCAGACCTCCATGACGACCATTTGTGAGAACGTAGAATGGATTGAGGTGAGCAAGAAAGTCCTGTGCCGTCTTGCGATATTTGCAATAATAGTCGAGCTATTAATTAAAAAAGATTGGTGAATGATCATGCGCGACATGGTAGATGAGCTGCAGTGGTGCCGTCTGCCGTTATACATTAAGTAATATACAACGTAAACAAAAAAGTCCTCTACCGTTTTGCAAATGACCACATAGATGTTTAAAGAAAATTGTTACATATATGATTATCATAATGCACAAATTTTTTTTAATTAATATCTAAAAATCTATGTGGTCATTTACAAAATGGTAAAAGATTATTATTGTTCAGTTTGACTTAATTAATAAGTATACAACAGCAGCCGGCAGCTCACTCACCATATTACGTGATCATTCATCAATCGTGATCATTCTTTTTTAATTAATATCTCTACTATTATTGCGAATATCGCAAAACGGCACAGGACTTTCTTGCTTACATTAATCCGTTCTACGTTTTCACAAAGGTCATCATGGAAGTCTCAGACATCCTGTATATTATTCTAAGATCTTGATAAAATAGATGCACCAAAAATCCAATTGCAAAGTCGCTATGTTATTTCAAATAATGATCGTAAGTGAAAAACGAAGCAAGTTGCCTTACTAAGCAATCCAGCTGTAGAACGCTGCGCCAGCTGCCCGTACTTCCTTATGATAATGATTTCATTCTCGTCCTGTAACTCGTTGTAGATGCGCTGAAGCAATTCCAGTAGATACCTTATCTGCTGGTTTAACGGTAATTTATTTTAATATTCTTACTTAATTGTTAATAATAGTTAGTATTTTTTTTAACACTACAAGTGTTTGGACATACGTTGTTATTATCAGAACAGAATAATATGTTAAATAATTCATCATTATATTATCGTATCATAAGAAGCAAATAACATTTCGAAATAATATAAATATATGTTAAACTAACACACATCTATATATTACGTATTTCAACTTTTGTAGATGTCAAAGTGACTTTGAAAAAATGTTAATTTTTTTAAATAATTGTGTTAAAATTAAAATTAAAATAAAATTAAAATAATATTTAATTTTTAAATGACACATTTGTTAAATTATGAGCTTGTTATTAATCTAACACATCACGTAACGAAAATAATAATATATCAGTTGCATGTTAATCTTACAGAGATAATAATTAAAAATTTTCAAAAATAGCGAAAAGAAAATTTGTGCGCAAGATTTTTTACAGTATATAAGATGTTTTTGAAACAAGAATATTCTTTTTCTATCTAGATACAAAATTGATCGTATCGTTTTTTTCACACTTCACACAAACGTTGATCTTTGTGCAAACACGATATTTGGTGTACAATTCACTTACAGCTTTGATATTAGCTCTGAATGAGTTGTATTTGATGACCAAGGTGATGAAAAATAACGTAGAAGAAAGAACCTTGATGAGAAGATCCGGAGTGCATTCTAAAGTCACGAGCGACGCAAACTACAGACAAAAATTTTATACTGATGTTTGCATTACAATAACGCAGAGTTTTTCTATCTAATTAGAAAGAAAAAAAGAGATTACAAATTGTCTTTTAGTATATCTAAATTAAATTAAATTAAAACAACTTGAAAGATAGTAAAGAGAGTTGATTTGTTATGTGATCGCAAAATACTAACAAAAGAGAATCTAAAAACATCACTCACTACTTTTAATCTCGAATATATTGTAAAGAAGTAAAAAATAAAAATATATATATTTTTAGGAGTGTTTTGTCGCACGTCTAGAAGTTGTAAAAATCTCTCTTGTAGCTCTATTATTATTAGATATTCTATAGGTTATTGACGGATATTTTTGAAATCATGAAATATATGAGAGAATATTTTATAATACTCTTTTACTTAATAACTATACATCCAAATTTTTGACAAATGTCTCATATATATTTTTCAATATGTACGTTCTCATCTCTCGTTGTTATTTTTACAAGGCTCAAAATTTCTGTAAGGACAAATTGAAAAGAATTTTACATCAAGTCAGATCATATACAATAAAATAATTTTCTGGTATCGTATTTTTGTGATATATTTTGTGAAGTTGTGTTATGAATGTTTCGCGAGAAACTTATGAGAAAAACTAAAAGAATATATCTCTTAGTTTCTCTACAATATATTCAAAACTCATCGAAAAATGGGAATCTTGTCCACACCTTTCCTTACAAGAACGTTTTTAACATACCTGAAATAAAATGAAGCTTATCAAAGTACTAAATAACAAAATTAGCTGTAATTGAACCAGTTTAGATTGTTGGTAGGGCCATAAGCCGACAGCGAGCAGTAGGAGCCGATTGAGGTTGATGTACAATGTTTCGATGCAGATCATGTCTCAACGAACACCGGGACACGTTTTGCCGCGAAGGTTTTGACAATGTTTTGCTCATCCCTTCGTCACGATCGCTTCATATTCCATGGTTTTGCACCCTCTGGCTGAAATACTAACTGCACAATTTAACGGCACTTATGCGAAATAAAGTAATAGACAAAGAAACACCGCTGTGGGAAAGCAATATTCATAATTTCGCACGTTACTCGCCGGAAGGGTTGCGCGATTAAGCGATCGATACGACGCCGAAAGAAATTTGACAGATGTTTATTTCCCATATACATACAAATGCACACGGAGGGACCGCTCCGTCGTGCGAACGACGCAGGCGCAAGTGTCATTTCCTCGGCAACTTCCTCGACGACACTACCAAATGTTTCTATCGCGTGTATTTTTTCATTCTATATATTTTATACAATATATATTTTCTGTATGTTTCATTTTTATTTTTTCAGCATATAATTTATATTTTACGTAGTATATTATATTGTTTACATGAAGAAAGACTTATATTATTTATACATCACGTAGACAATGCGAAAATAATCCGTGCAGACGTAATTTTGAAATCTACAATATCTATTGTTTTATGTGATTAATTATATACTGATAATTAATAATTGGTTTTTTCAATCGATTAAATTATCTATAATTATATAAATGGCAATTCATTAATTTCGGGTACTGATTCGCTGATTATTTTAGTCAAAGAAAATTTTAATCGATTAATATCTAGCACTGTGTACTATCGACATTCCCAGTAGGATGTCGATGTCGTAAAAAATTTGTGATTGAGAAGTAAGTTTTTTTAGTTGTTTTTTTCATTATATTGACGTCATCGTGATTTTTCGTTCTACCTGAAATATCGACTCGGATCAGATGTCCAAATTGAAGTAATCGTACCTCTTACCAAAAGTGACTTTGTTTTACATTCAACCTCAGCACTTACTTTCGTTTCCGTGTATTTATTTGCAGATTAGCAAAACGCTCCTGTCTATATTTTAGCCAATTTTTTGTCAGTGCTTAATTAAGATTTCTTTTAACACTAGACTAATAATTGACGATTATCAAGTCATTAGCGTGTAAAGTAAAGAACGGTGAAATAAGATATTGAGGAAATAAGATATTTATCCTCAGCGCTTGCTGCAACGGTAACTGTAATTAATTTATATTAAATTTATATTCAAAATGGTAGCCGTGAAAAGTTTAAATACTGATATATTTAGAATATGCACTTCAATTAGATTTTTTTTTTCTTTGATCACACTAATGACAAATAGAATATAAAACATGACCCGTATAAAATGTAACAACCTAAAAGCTCTAAAAATATTTGTCGCATCAAAAAGTTCACGAGAAAATTTCATACATTTGACGGGCCTTTCTCGGAGGTACGAAAGGGTTAACGAACAAGAAACCGCTGTGAAAATCTGTGTTTTCTCGTTCGCTTTTTCACATTCGTATCTTCACCTGCCGATTCTGAACATCCCGCAGGCGTGCTTCAAATAACCAAGGAGTATCGTTCCCATCGCCACTATCACGGTCGTCCCGATAAACAAAGACGTGTCTATATGCACCAGAAGTAGATAGACGTATTTGTCTTGGTCGATGAAGTATTCCGTCACGATCTTCATCGCGTGTCGCGTGTTGTTTATGTACACGAACATACCGACGAAGTGCGGCCACAACGGCAAAAGAATGATACTCATAACGCTGCACAAAGTACAACCTGAGGATGTTTAAGAAAGATAATTGATAAATAATTAATATCTCTGCACATCGAGTCCGCGTAATGACAGATATTTTAAATTTTAAATTGTTGCAAAAAACTGATTAGAGAATTCCTACATTGCAAAGAATTTTGTGATATATTTAATACGTTTCACATTTTCCCTATATATCTACTCCAACTTTTATGTCAACTTTTATGCCAAAATTTATGTCAATTTAACACAAGGCAAATATGTTAACCTTTTCGTGCCTTTGAGATATACATATATGTCCCACTTACAAAAATCATTATAACTTTTAAACAAATAGTCCTATCGACTTCTACCTTAACTTGTTTTAAAGATGAAGGTTCAAGTTACATGTACAAATCATCGCATACTTTAAAATATTATGTTTTCAATAAAATATAGTTATTTAAACTTTGCTAAAAATCTAACTTTTAAAATAATAACCTACCATAACATAGCCTACTTTCGGCCTATGTGCAGAATAAGTACCACTCTGCATGCGCCAGAATCCGTATGTGCTACTATGACGGATCTAACGTTATGGTGGTGATTTTGGGATATTGGAAAAATATTTTCAAGGTACTGGGCGTGTTACAGAGTCACACAAACACCCGTTGTCACCCCGGAAACGATACAGAACGAAATAAGCACATCTGACGTAATTTTCGAAAATAGGCCTTTTCAAAGGCGAATGTTTCTTTAGAAAACCCTAAAAAATTATCCGAAATAGTGCTCTCTACGCTAACGCGAAATAACTTATAACCTACCATAACATAGCCTACTTTCGGCCTATGTGCAGAATAAGTACCACTCTGCATGCGCCAGAATCCGTATGTGCTACTATGACGGATCTAACGTTATGGTGGTGATTTTGGGATATTGGAAAAATATTTTCAAGGTACTGGGCGTGTTACAGAGTCACACAAACACCCGTTGTCACCCCGGAAACGATACAGAACGAAATAAGCACATCTGACGTAATTTTCGAAAATAGACCTTTTCAAAGGCGAATGTTTCTTTAGAAAACCCTAAAAAATTATCCGAAATAGTGCTCTCTACGCTAACGCGAAATAACTTATAACCTACCATAACATAGCCTACTTTCGGTCTATGCGCAGAATAAGTACCACTCTGCATGCGCGAGAACCCGTATGTGCTACTATGACAAATCTAACGTTATGGGGGTGATTTTAGGATGTTGGAAAAATATTTTCATGATACTGGGTGTGCTACAAAGTCACACAAACACGCGTTGTCACCCCGGAAACGATACAGTACGAAATAAGCATATCTGACGTAATTTTGACAGATGTTTGCTTCCCATGCGAAAATGCACACGAAAGAGTTATTCGAAGGGATTTCTTCGTCGTGGGCGACGCAAGGCGGATCGAAGCTATTGACGTATCTGGAATACGATGAAACTCGACATAATATTGTAAAGCAAGATTATTTGAAGTCGGGTGAACATGGATCGCTGAGAGGGCCATAAGCCAACAATGAGTAGAAGCATCCGATTGATGTTGAAATATTGAGTTTCGATGCAGATCATTTTATCGCGAAATGCTTTTGCGCGAAAGTCAGCGGTGGCTCGAGGGTCACCCATTTTACCCGAGCATCCCATTACTTTTGTCCCCCCAATGTAATAATAAATTCCAATTACGTAAGTCGCGCTCAATTTAACTGAAAGTGATGGGAAACGGAGTGAAATACAAACAGCCGTGTGGTAGCACGCCTCTTCTTGGGTGGAAGTGCATTATTAAGCGGTCGATAGCGACACCGAGTGAAATTTGACAGATGTTTGCTTCCCATGCGAAAATGCACACGAAAGGGTTACTCGGAGGGATTTCTTCGTCGTAGGCGACGCAAGCGCAATTGCGCTTTTTTCGACAAACGCAATACCACGTGTCCCATTTCGCTGTATGCACTCGTGAATCATGACCTATCTTTGGAGACTGCCTTCTTTCTTAAAGTAAATCAGTGAATCAGTCACTGATATCAGTTATAAGTATAGCACTGAGCTCTTTCAGTGCTATACTTATAACTACAAATCAGTGTATATTCAATGTTTTCAGTTATTCATTTTAAAAGAGTTATAAATCGACATACTAGTTTTTGATTTGTTACCGCTAAAGTGGGCATTACATTCTAAGATTCAGAATCTTCCAAGATTTATTGCATCTTTGATACTTTACACATGAGTAAATATAAATATGTATATACATCAATTGGATATACATTATGGGATATATAGTATGAATATACTATATATTGTAATATATATATATTCAATTTATGTATATGAAATATATATGTAATTTATAAACAGGATATTATTTGCATATTATGGAGCATATATAGTATATATATAGAAAATATCTAGTATTATATGAAATCTATTAAGAATCAAACAAATTTTCATCGACGTCACGTTTTGTTGAATTTTACAGAAATTATATTGCAATTATTTTTATATATAACTCCTTACGAATTTTGTTTCAGATCTAAACTTTACAAGTCAATCTTATATATTTGTACGTCATCGACTTATAGAGTACACAACGGTGAAATAAGATATTGAGAGGCTCGTTAGCTGTAACATACATGACATAATTACGTAATTAAAAGTGACTCTTTGTAATTTACAAGGAATACTAAAGTGTAAGTACATTCGGACACATAAATTCATACCGTGCTGAATCCCTCTAGAGATCCCACAAACATTCCTGCGAGACTTATGTAGAACGTTTTAGTGCCTCTTTGCAGCAGGAATAATATTATTCTTTGTATATGTAACGGAGTAGTGTACCACCGAACGTTATATCTGCGAAACAGTAACGAAATGTTTAGTCGACAATATCAGGATGATAAAACTCATAAATAGTCCTTGATACGCTTATTGTCTGCATTATGAAACGTTTCCCAACTGTTTAATTCCATTAATTTTGCAGTCCATATAATATGCGTATTCGGTATGCGTGCTCCTCGCTTCAAAATGTTTTTTTGTTCCTATCATAAACACGTATATAGATATTTCTTACACAGTAGAAAACACGTGCTCGTTATGATCCATAATCTCTTGTGCACCCAGATTAGAAATAAACATGTATACATAATGAGAAAGTAGCAACATTAAGGATGTTATCAACTTCTCGATGTCGCATCCAGTTGACAATTCATAAAAGATCTGAAACACGAGTTCGCTGCCTGAAATTTCTCACATTTTGCCATGACCACACTTAAAGTAGTTTAACCGATTTTATTAATTACACCGATTTCATAAAACACAGTGACTATACGTAATCGCCCATACTTACACGATAAAGACTGAGGCTTATTGAAATTACTATGGTTATCATCAAGAAAAAAAAGAATATCTCGAATTTAGACTGAAAGAGTTTTGCAAACCTTCAAAGATAAGAAAGAATTACCATTATCGTACAGCGTGTGTTATATCATATATACTATAATATATCTTATTTACTGCACAAGCATTGTAAGATGCTAACTTTGTGGCTTTACGATGCATATCGATGGCAAAAATTATTCTCTTGTGTACCAAACTCTTAAGTTCCGCGTCACTCATCTTTAAAGTACCGATCATGACCTGCTCCATACGATAACTGAAAACAGAAACTGATACGCTGTAATCATGCAATAATTTAACCGCGATATTGAACTTCAGTATTAGCTTTCGCGTAGATTTTCTCACCTAGCAACTTTAAACATTCCGCAGATGTATTGAAAATACGCTATGATAATTGTTCCTGTCGCCAATATTGTAGTTTGTCCTATGCAAAAGATTGCGTTTATGTGTAGGACGAATAGGTAGAAATATCTTTCATGGTCGAGAAAGTACTCCATCGTAATTTGCAATGGAGGATGCGGACGAGATTCGTTCGCGGGCCACACGACGTCGATAATTCGCGGCCAGAGTGGGAGGAACATAAAAACAGATACGCAGCATATGACGAGCACTAAAGAAATCATTGTATAAAAGTAACTTGTAACGTACAGCAAGTTGCAAGTCAGTTTACACACTCTTTATTGAGTGAAGTTGCGTGCAGTTGAGTGAGGTTAAAATTCGATGATCTATGTGCAAATCCACTTGCAAACTTTATATGATTTTCAATAAAAAGTGCTAAAAATTAAAGACAGCGAAATGTCTTACGCGTGAGCGTGTAGGTGTAACGTTTCGCGATAGTTCCGTACTTTTCTAAGATAGCAACTTCGCTGCTGTCTGTCAGCTCGTCGTAGGTATTCTGGATTATTTCCCATATAAGCTTTATCTATTGTTTCAACAATTCTCTGTGTCACATATTTTCATGGAGCTCAAGAAAAAAATTTTTATTTAGTGCAACTATGATACTCTCGCTGAAGACGAGAAAGAGAGTATGTGTATATGTATATGTATGTGAAATCTAATGTATATGTATATGTATATGTATGTGAGATGAGAGTATGTGTATATGTATATGTATGTGAAATCTAATACTTACAGTGTCCAAGTTAAACCAGAACGCACTGAATTTTATCGAAAAAAGAATGAGAAGAAACTCAGTTGACAACACCTCGACTATAAGATGCAGAGTGCATTTCGTTGTCGCAAACGTTGCAAGCTGCAGAAAACGATTTTATTGAAACAAAATTCGCTTCCGTGTCTTATCGACAAGTGAAAAGTCTTATCGTGATTCATTAGTTGCCTGAACGAAACGTGCACAGATCTAATTATTTATTGTAATCACGTTACAACTCAGAAAATATTGTGATACAGCATCATTGTGCTTAAACATGTGCGCGTAATTGTTTGAAGCGATGCGATGGCTCAGTAAATACATAACAATTTCAAATATCTCACAAATGTACCGGAAACACAATGGAAGTTATCAGGATACCGTAGGATAAGATCAATTGCAGTTGGACGAATTTGGACCGCTCGAAGGGCCATAAGCCAACCGTCAGCAAGAGAATCCGATTGAGATCGAGCTGCAGCGACTTCACGCAGATCATCTCTGTGCGAGTATCGAGTCGCGTTTGAGCGCGAAGAAATAGCCGAGGCTCCGTTCATCCCCTCTTTTTCGCAAATCGATCCAACAAATTTCGCAATTTGCTCTATTTGGACGAAACGTTTCGCAGAAAAACTCACGCGAAACGACCGCCCATAAAGATATGTAATTTCACAATTTGCTCCTTCCGAAAGGGGTATGCAATTAGCGATCGATTTCACATCGAGAGAACACTTATAGATGTCCATTTCTCATGGAAAGAAATATTTCCTATAGCTACAATTTTCTTGGCGAAATATGCAGGCATATACTGGCTACCTTTCGGCGATGGTGTTCTGTGTGTTCATTCTGCCGTTTGTACTCGTTCCCTTGATGAAGCACCAATGAGTTCTTGCTTCAGAGACCGACATACCATCTATCGATTTATCGTCGGTAAAATACACGACATCGTATTTTACGGTGAACATCCTTATTCTTGTGCTACTTTCAATTCTACTAGCAAAGTTCCCCCTCAGTAAATAACGCTTTACCTTAAACAAATTGTACTGGCATACTTCATAGACTCAATCTTAACAAACGCAGTGTCCTGTTGGAATTATTACGATCTGACATAATTGCATATCTAAAGTTTACATGTCGTTAGACAACATTCAAATTAAATTACTTGATTTATTATTCATATTAATTCATATTAATTTATTATTCATATTAACTTTTTACAAGTGGAAAATAATTATCTCACATCTCATAACAGTAATTATACATTTGGTTCAACCGACTGAATGTTTGCTTGAATAAATTTCGCCTATTCAAGCAAAGTCTTGTTGATTCAATTCATTTTTTACAGTGTAGAATAAAGAACGGTGAAGTAAGACATTGAAGTACTTATCAACTGTAATGAAACATGAATTCTATGAATGAATTTACCTATTAAAATGTGTTATATTGAAGAAATTACATTACATATCGTTTACCTTGGTGGCGCTTTTTAAGGATCCTTTGAATACTCCACCGAGATTTACGTGAAAAGGTTTGTTGCTTATTTGCAGCATAAACAATATCATTTTCTGTATGGCCAGAGGAGCTTCATACCATTCGACGTTATATCTACAAGATAATAAAAGAAGTATCAATTAATCGCGTGTAATACTTGAAAACGATATTCAATACAGTCTTTATTTTTTACAAAATATTTTAACTATTCTTTCCCTACATATCGATTAATATGTACTCTATATCGTTAGATGTAAGAATGTTAGCTCTTACACTGTAGCAAATACGTGATTATTGTAATCCATAATTTGTTGCGCACAATTGTTGGCGATAAACACGTTGATATAAAAGATATTTAAAAATGTGATTGGTAATATCATCCTCCTGAACTCGAATCCAGACGATATCTCCTGAAAAAGCTAACATTCATGTTCTACGTCAATTCTTATGTGTTTCACTCACAATTCTTGCAAATAGCATATAATACCGAGTATCAGTTAATAAATATTTTTATTAAAAAACTGTTACGTTCTTAATACAATATGCTATTATTGAGTATTACACGCTAGTTTAATGGTATAGACAAGAACAGACGACGAATCTTACTCGAAAAAGATTGAGACTCGAGGAAATTACTCCGATCACTATTATAAGAAAGAAAGGCATTTCCATCTTAGATATGTAAATTTGTATGAACCTAAGCGAGGAACCATTATTAAAGAAGACATTATTATAGGCATTACTATTATTAAACAAGGTGTACTGTGATAAGTGAGATCCGTTGTAAAAGAAATATTTCCTTTGGCCAAATTTCTTCTAAAAGAACTAAGTTCTTTCTTACTAACTTTTACATTTGAAATAGATTTATATCATGTAAAATTGTTTACTTTTCAGCGTAATTCGGAAACTCGAATATCAAGCTATTTTATTACGTTGAAAAAAAGCACTTAAAAATTATTTTGTGTAAAATATATTTTATTTCACACGAATAAATTTTCAAGAATTTGTCTTTCAGTGCACGGAAACAATTAAGTTGTACTGAGAAATCATTCTCGAAGTGAATCTCAAATATTAAATTATCTATATTAAGTATACACTCATCACTCAGAGTATACCACCCCGTAACTGTACGATGCATTTCCACGGCATAAACAATTCCTTTATGGATCAAATTTTCATTTTTTTTTGTTGTTCACTTCTACAGTACAAACCGCCATGGCCTGCTGCACGCGATAACTAAAAACGAAAAACATGCTGCAATTATATCGAATAACTTAATCGCGCGGATATGTTAAGACACGAGTAAATTTCGTGGTGAAACAGTGTTGGTTCTACCGAACGTCACTTGAATTTTCTCACCTGACCACCTTGAACATTCCGCATATAAGTTGAATGTACACAATATTTATCGTACCAACCGCCAGCATTGCTATTCCCCCTACACAATATGCCGCGTTCGAGTGCAATAGAATAATAAAGAAATACTTCTCCGGATCGATGAAGTATTCCGTCAATATTTGCAGCTATGAATGTGGTCGAGATTCGTCCCTGGATATCACGATATCGAGAATGGTCGGCCAAAATTGGAAAGTCGTAATGACAGATATGCTGCAAACGCCAAGCGCTAAAAGACGGTTTAAAAGGGCTGACATAGTACAAATAGTTTATTATGTAACGAAGTAGTAACGAAAATTCAACCAGTGAGTTATCTTACCCGTAAATAGGATAGTGTAACGTTTTCCAGTATTCCCATACTCCTCAATAATAGCTTCCTCACCTTCGTCTCTTATCTCATCAAACGTATACTGAAGTAGATCCCACAAACGCTTTATCTGTTGTTTTCGTGAAGTTTAGCAAAAAATGTTGTCCAGTAAGAATTATTACACGTGAAATGTTTGTACGAACAATTGAGTGTCTATAATTCGATCACTTACGGAATCCATGTTAAGACTGTAGGAGCTATACTTTATAATGTAGAGAGTAAAACAGATTACGGGAGAGAGAACTTCGATGATCAACTGTGGGGTACATTCTAAAGTCAAAAATGTTGTAAGCTGCGAAAAATAAAAGAGTTCGCTGAAAAGTCGTGTCGCAAAAGTAACTTTTGTAAATCGCCAGTAAATGTAAAATCACAAATCACTTGTCTTCTTCAAATTTCTGTGTATAATGACTGGACGAAAAATACTCGATGCATAATCATTCATAATAATTATATCATGCTAGGAATGTGTGATTTTAGTATTATACAAGGTGAGTCGATTGCTTGAATATTTTGGGAATAAAAAACAAAGTTGACCTTAAAATCTCCGAAGTTACTCCTCTTAGAAAATATGTAACAACCATTAGAAATTTTTTTTCTAAGAAAGTGGAATAACTTTGAAAATCTTTTGGGTTTCATTTGATATGGACATTAAGAAAAATTAATGCGATAGATTTAAGTGATATCAAGACATAATATACAGCGATAATACTCGTAGGGGGAGAGTGTAAGTAATTAATCTTATCCTCATAAGATAAGTATGTACGAGTATCATCCTCTATACTTGTGAAGTCGGTAATAGATGGTAAAGCAACCGATCTAGCCAGCGCGCGCTTGCGTGCGCGCGTTACTGGGGACAAGGGAGGGGATGAACGTGTGTTGCTAAAAGGACAGACAGACAATAGCGAGAGCTCGTAGACGTAGATACACAAATCCGTGGTAGTCAATAGTGCATAATACATATATTCATATATAACCTCGTACTATTCTGTATCATTTCCACTTAAATAAATACTCATATTACAACAAAAATAAATATGAAAAATATAAATTTCACCTTAAAATTTTGTAAACATCTATTTAGAAAATAAAGATAACAAATAATTTTCTGTTATTTATTTCATTTTTAATGATATAATTTACGGGGAACTCTCTATTTACAGTTGGTCTTTATTGGGAAACAAACTCGACTTTTATTAAAGTAGAAATGCAAATCAAAAATTGTTCAAACAGTCTATCGTCAAAGTAGGTCCCACGTGCAACAATATATCTTGTATAAACTTTACAAACATCATCAAACATAAACTAACTTCATAGCCCTTCGATGCATATCTATTGCATAAATCATCATCTTATAAGTTGAATTCTCATTTTGCATGTTACTTATTTTTATTGTGTTGATCTTCAGTGCCTGATCCATACGATAACTGCAAATAATTCAAATACTGTAATTATAATAACTCAAATAATTATAATAACTGTAATAATTCAAATACAGTAATAGTCATGACTTACAACGCATATCAATACAGCGATTTTTAAATAAATTCTCATCATCTGAAATAGAAAAACCACAGTATTATCAAACCAACTTGTGATATGACGAAATTAATCCTACCTATGACTCAGATTTTAATAGTTGCCGCGTAAATGTTCTCACCTGGCAATTTTAAACATTCCACATATATACTGTATGTATACTAAGATAATGGTTCCCGTCGCTACTAGTGCAGTCTCTCCCATGCAAAAGACTGCGTTTGTATGCAATAAAATTAGATAGAAATATTTTTCTTGATTACAAAAGTACTCTGTCTTAATTTGTAACAGGAGATATGGACGAGATTTGTTTGCAGACCATACAACGTTGAGAATTCGCGGCCAGAATGGGAGGAACATGAATACAGATATTCCGAACATGCTGAGCACTAAAGGTTCGAAGAAGTTGTGTAAAAGTGACTTATAGCATGTACTGTCTCTAATAATAATTCGAGAGTGACCAAAATGATCTACGTAGTACTCTCTGAATTTGTTAAAGGAAAATTTCCCTGGAAACGCGTAAAAAGTAGCAATATTTGCACTTGAGATGGTAGTGAAAACATTTTCACTCAAAACTAAAGAATGAATGTTTCACTTGAGATTAAAGTAGAATAACTCAAATTTGTGTAGCTATACTGTTATTCTATCTATCGAGTGAAATTTCAATTCAAGATATTTAGAGAGTAAGTTAAAAATGATGGAATGTCTTACATGTGAGTGCGTAAGTGTAACGTTTTGCGATAGTTCCGTACTTTTCTATAATAGCGACTTCGCTCTCGTTTTTCAACTCGTAGTAAGTACGCTGAATTATTTCCAGCATATGTCTCACCTGTTGTTGAAACGATTTTTTATGTCACCCAAAGTTTCATAAAGTTCGACGAAGTCTATTGTAAGGGGATATTCGGATTTGTAAGGTCGCAAAAAATTTAGTAAAATTTTAGAAAAGTACCCTTTTGGGACCTTTCAAATCAGAATATTCTCTTAAGGAGAACTGCTGTATGCGATGCGAACGATTCCAAACGCGAATAAAAATCTGAAAATTATTTACTTACAGTATCAGCGTGATAACAAAATCCGCTATAGTTTGCCACAAACGTGGCGAAGAAAAACACTACGGAGAAGATTTCGATAATGAACTGAGAGGTGTATTGCGATGTTACAAGTGTTGCAAGCTGCGAAAAACGATTCCGTTAAAGCGTTCGCGTCGTGAAAATGATTTCTACATTTTAGTGACAAGCCAGTTAATAGTCACACATTAATTATTATATTTTTTTTACGTACAACAAAAAAAAGATGCATTAGTAGAGAGGGAATAGTCTGCTATAGTGACATTACAATTAAAAAATAATTCTTTTGTATAGCAAATAATTGTGATAAGGATATAATTATATGTAGATATATTTGCGTACCAATGATTGTTACAAACAACAAAGATGTGATATATTAGTTATAGAGTAATTCTAAGAATTATAAAAACGTTCAAAGGACTAACGTACCTGACATGTAATTGAGGTTAGCAAGATACCGTAAAAGAAAATTAATTGTAGACGAACAAATATGGATTGCTCGTAAGGCCATAAGCCGACAGAGAGCAAAAGAATTCGATTGAGTTCGAGTTGTAGCGACTTCACACAGATCATGTCTGCCCGAGTGTCGAGTCACGTTTGACCGCGAAGAATTAGCCAAGGCTCCGTTCATCCCCCCTTTTTTACCTCTTATATACTATCGATTTATCATTTTGTAACTTGTTCTCTTTGGGGAAACATTTCGCGTAAAATTAACGCGAAGCGGTGGTGAACGTACGTGTATATATGAATATACGTAATTTACCAATTTACTCCTCCCGGAAGGGGTGCGCGATTAGCGATCGATTTGACTTTCTCGGCTGTTCGTTTCTCATGGAAAAAAATATTTTACTTAGCTAGAATTTTTGGCGAGGAGATACGCAGGCGTACCAGTCATTTTCCGACAGTAAGTTCCGTGTCTCTCTTCATTCTGCTTTTCGTACTCGACTGTACGTTCGATGAAACGTCTTGGTGGAACATCAGACTTCCTGCCTTAGAAACCGACACACCAGGTATCGATGTATATAGCAAGAGAAGCCTATTAATGTTGAGATATTGTGTGTTCATGCGTATATTTTCTACACGATTATCGATACGCGTTTAGACACGGACCACCAATCTCCTCTTTTCGTCCACTTAATTATTCTACAAAATCTCTCTTCTGATGTATATTTCATAATAAATCTCCTAATTACAACTTAATTTAGTAATAATTTAATATCTTTTATAACGCGAAATAACGAAAAAAATCACAACGGGATCGGACATCCGCAATTTGAAGATTTTCAGTAAAAATAAGTTGCCATTATATGAGCGATTGACTTTGCATCGGTTGCAATTTGTCAGATGCATTTTCTCATAGAAAAAGTAACATGCTTGAGGAGCTTTTCTGCCTTAAACTTGCGCAACCGCAGTGTTACAATTTATTAGAGTCCACGTGGGATCGCCGATGTTCCTTGTACGATCTTGTTCGAGTAAACAATTCATTAAATATTAACATTCGAATTATTGTTCAAATTCGATTATTTGCGTAACATCGCTTCTCGTAAAAAATAGTTTTGCTTTTTAGACAATGTAACAAATACGTGCGACATGCATATTTTTTCGCATAGGTAAATAATCAAATATTAATTTCATAAGAGCTATCGAAAACACAATGAATTTTTATTGTTGAGTTCGTTAATCATTTAATTATGCAACAACTATGTACAAACAGAAAATTTTCCACTAATTTTGTTCTCGTACAAATTTATGTAGCCTTTCACAAATTTCATAAATTTTTATATTATTCTTTCATAAATTTTTATATCATCGTCCTGTAGAATATAAAACTGTGAAGTAAGTTGTTGATGAGCTCATCAGCTGGAATAAAAAATATTTTCCTGTATTGTTGGAAATACATTACTCTGAGAGGGAACAGTCCTAATACGCAATAAAGTTTGTACCGCGCTAAAACCTTCCAGAGATCCCACAAACACTCCACCAATAGTCATATAAAAAGACTTAGTACCTCTTTGCAATAGAAATAATATTATTTTCTGGATACGTAATGGTGCAGCGTACCAGTGAGTGTTATACCTGCAAACAATGACTTATTATACACTTGATCATTTTAATTTGAGTCAAGACTCAAAAATAATCCTTGACATATACGCGGGTCATTTATTTTACGAAATGAGTTCTTTTGCTCTCTTCATATTAATATTATTTTCAATTGCTTAATATTACATATCTTGCGTTGTAAAATTCCTTTCATATATGTCGTGTCGATAAAATATAAATATGTTGCTTACACCGTAGCGAACAAGTGTTCATTGTGATTTATAACATCTTGCCCCATATTGTTGGAGAGGAACATATATACATATAAAATATTTAAAAACATAAAGGGCGTCATTAGCTTCTTATAATTGCATTCAGTTGTCAATTCACGAAAAATCTGAAACACGAATATATCGCGTTCATTTTCTCACGTTCTCATCATGATTTTAATCTTGTCTACCGCCTCATGTGTTGTAATGCTAAATTGATTTAATTAATTGGCATACCCTTTCGGTACGAAGAATGATTATTGTCACCTGCCGCCAAGCTTGGTCGTACCCGAGGAGTGTCTATATTTAGACATTGCCGAGTACAGGTCCTTAAATATACGAATATTTCTTGGCGCACTTATGCACTACAGAACGCTCTGCTATGTCCGATCATGAACGCTTCACGGCTGGATTCTGCCGTACCGAAAGGGTTAATTTTCATATACGTACTCGATAAAGATTAAGACTTGTGGCAACTGTTTCGATCAGTATTATAAAAAAGAATGTTAACTCAAGTTTGGTCATAAAAATTCTTAGAAATCTGCAGAAATATAAGAAAGAATTAGTGATATGTTGTACAGAATATATCATTTTATCACGCATCATTCAATAATGGATCAGATGAACTCTATAATATATTTGCAACTGATATACGTTCAAAAAAATTTCTTTTATAAAATAGTTTACATGTAACCTCTGTATATGTATTGTAAACTGTATCTATTTTTAGAACCTCAATATTTTCAATTAAACTTTTCAATATTATATAAATATATTGAGAAATATTATATAATATTATATAATACAATACACCTTAAAATTTTGTAAGTATTAATTTAAAAAATTAGATAAGAATATAATTTTCTAGAATTTTTTGTACTTTTATAACATAATTTTGAAGAAACCTGTCTATTTACAATTGTTATAACTCCAAAACTATGAGCAGAAAACTTTTACGAAAGAAGAATAGAAACCACAAATTTTTCAAATCTATCGTCAAGGTAAGTTTCATGCTGTATTATATCCTATACATACTTTCTAATCATCATCAAATATATACTAACTTCATAGCCTTTCGATGCATATCTATGGCATAAATTATCATCTTGTAAGCTGAATATTCATTTTGCATCTTATTTATTTTTATTGTGTTGATCTTCAGTGCCTGATTCATACGATAACTGCAAATAATTCAAATGTTGTAATTATACAGTAATCTAATCGTGACTTACAACGGATATCTGTACAGCAATTGTTAAATGAATTCTCATGCTCTGAAGTAGAGAAATTATAGTATTATTAAATCGACTTGTACTATGACGAAATTAATCGTACCTATGACTCAGATTTTAATAGTTGCCGCGTAAATGTTCTTACCTGGCAATTTTAAGCATTCCACATACATATTGCAAGTACACTATGATAATGGTTCCTGTTGCTACTACTGTAGTCCCTCCAATACAAAAGACTGCGTTTGTATGCAGCAAAATCAGATAGAAATATTTTTCTTGATTGCAAAAGTACTCTGTCCTAATTTGCAATAGGGAATATGAATGAGATTCGTTTGCAGACCATACGACGTTGAAAATTCGCGGCCAAATTGGAAGAAACATGAAAACAAATATGTCGCACATGCTGAGCACTAAAATTTTGGAAAAATTATGTAAAAATGACTTGCAGCGTATACTGTTTTTAATAACAATTCTAAAGTGGCCTACGTAGTACTCTAAATTTCTTGGAGTAAAACTTCATTGAAAACGCAGGAAAAGTGACAGTATTTTCACTCGAATCAATAGTGAAATCACTCCTACTTAAAACCAGAAGAGTGAATGTATTACTGAAAGTGGATTTTGACTTCATATGAGCAAATACTTCAATCGATTTCAATAAATATATACGGTGGAATACACTTTCCAATCTTGAGTGAAAATATTCATTCAACAATTTAGGGCGCAGAATTCACACTATAGAAGTAAATAACTCGAATTCGAATGACTGTACTGTCATTCTACTTTTTGAATGAAATTTCAGTATAATATATTTAAAAAGTTTAAGCTGTGCAATCTCTTACATGTAAGTACGTAAGTGTAACGTTTCGCGATGGTTCCGTATTTTTGTATAATAGCAACTTCACTCTCGTCTTTCAGCTCGTCATAAGTATGCTGAATTATTTCCAATAAATTCCTAACCTGTTGTTGTAGCGATTTATTATATTTCCATAAAGTTCGACAAAGACTGTTGTTTAAGGAGGTTTCTTTCTGTATGCAACGCTACCGAACGCGAGTTAAAATCTGTGAACTGTTTACTTACAGTATCTGTTTGAAAACTAAACGCGCTGTATTTTATCGCAAAAAAAACGAAGACAAGTACTACGGAAAAGACTTCGATGATGAACTGTGGCGTGTATTGCGATGTCACAAATGTTGCGAGCTACAAAAGCGATGTCGTTAAAGCGTTCACATCGCGAAAATGATTTCTATATCTTTATGACAAGTAGATCAATATCACACATTAATTATTAACTGTTTCTTTATGTATAATAACAGAAAGATACATAAATATAAAATTGTTTGCTATAATTACATTAAAACATTAAAATTACAATAAAACAATGATTTCTCAATTATTGTTATAAGTTACTTTGATGTAAGATGTAATTATACTTAAATATATTTGTGTTATAATAATTGTTACAAACAACAAAAATAGCATCTTATTAGTTACAGAGCAATTCCAAGAATTACATAAACATCCAAAGGACTAAACGTACCTGACATGCAATAGAAGTTAGCAAGATACTGTAGAAAAAAATGAATTGGAGACGAACAAATATAGATTGCTCGAAAGGCCATAAGCCAACTGAGAGCAAGAGAATTCGATTGAGTTCGAGTTGTAGCGACTTCACACAGATCATGTCTGCCCGAGTGTCGAGTCACGTTTGACCGCGAAGAAGTAGCCAAGGCTCCGTTCATCCCCTCTTTTTTACCTCTTATATACTATCGATTTATCATTTTGTAATTTGTTCTCTTTGGGGAAACATTTCGCGTAAAATTAACGCGAAGCGGTGGTGAACGTACCTGTATATATGAATATACGTAATTTACCAATTTACTCCTCCCGGAAGGGGTGCGCGATTAGCGATCGATTTGACTTTCTCGGCTGTCCGTTTCTCATGGAAAAAAATATTTTACTTAGCTAGAATTCTTGGCGAGGAGATACGCAGGCGTACCAGTCATTGACAATCCGACAATAAGTTCCGTATCTCTCTTCATTC